ATTTTGAAAACAAAGTTGATAAATTTTTATTGATAATGATTATGTCCATGTATTTATTTATCTTTATTATAAGTAATCAAAAATAAAAAATAAGGTTATTAAAAATATTAATATTATCAACAATATTATGTGCATTAGTTTTATATATTGGAGAAATAAAATAAAAGCTAGTTATTAATATTATATGTCATATCGTTATAAGAGTTACAATTCTTTTTATAACTTATTATTTGTAATCCAAATATAGAGTCTTAAGGTATCATTCTGAGTAACTGCATGAAATAAATTTATTAAATACGTTATAGATATGTACGTATTTATTATATTGTTATGAATGATTAATGAATTTCTTTACGTGTTATTTCTACTTTAACCTGAGGTAAATTGATAATTGGATTTTACGTCTATTTTATTTCTTTTCATGTTATTTCTCAAAGGTATAATTTAAAAATATTGTTTCAATGACTCATCGCGTGCTGAACATAATTACTCTAACAATAATGCTAATAATAATCCCGAGGTCTTGAAGCAGCGAGGCGGAAGTAATGGTGGTATAATTGCAAATTGATTTGTTGTTTTAAACTTGTAATTACTTGTTTAACAGCTTTAACATTTTTCGTTCAGAAAATTATGTAAGAAAATTGTTCGTCGGCCTTTTCAAAATATCCATAATTTCTCTGACGTTTCTGAGATGTGCCCGAGACAGTCGTGCAGATTTGTATCGAGGCGGGTGTCGCTCGGAGAAGAACAGTACTGTCTCACGAATATCAAACAGACCACCGTCGGGGGTTTAAAAGGCGTGCAAATACTGGGGAAGGAACAGCCGGTGTTCTCATGTTAATCGGACACCTTAAAAGTCGGTCGCGGGTCGTCTCGCCTCTCACGAGTTGTCAAAGTAATTTTCGCAGAATCTTCGCGCGCTCCTGCCTCTGGGAGAACATTCCGTTTGCGCGGGATGAAAGTAAAATTGAATTCGGCGTGTACACGTTACGTCTTCTCGCCTGCGGGCAGGCGCTCTCTTAGAACGTTCGTGGTATGTACTTATATGTCAAGGTCGCCTTCCACACACTCTTATACGTCGCGCATGTTGCCTCTTCTTCATTGGTTCACCAGAATAAGTTCACACGATAATTAGCGAGAGATTACTTTCAGAATATCAAAATGACGAGCCTTTGTAAATCTGATATATTATAATTGCTATCAATCAATTTATTCGTCTCGAAGGAATCTGTCATTAAATCTGAAGTCGATAATTCTGAAACAAACCCTGTATTATTAGCGAGAGACTTCTTTATTAAATACAATTTTCTTACGATCATTTTTTCGGGATTGGAATATTGGAAAAGACGAAAATTACAGTATTTTCTCTATTTTCACGACTGAATAATTCATGATTCATTATTCATACAATAATCGAACGATCCGTGATCTATGACATTATGTTGTAAGAGATGCGCGCGCGAGGATCGTCTCGTTTAATCACGTCGAGACGAAACTCCTATGTAAAAATCTAACGCTCGTAATTCTTTACGAGCATTGAAACACGTTCCATAATGCTTTCGGTGTAAAAGACTGTGAAACTGAAATTTATCAGCGACATAATTTCATGTCGAAATGTCACCATGTGGTCATTTAAATGATTAAATGTATGAAACTAGTATTTTTCACAAATTACAGTTATAAATAAAAAAAGATTATTTAAGAGAAAGAATATTTTATTTATATCCATTCTTAAAAAGGTATGTGTTAAATTGATACTCAAATATATATTAAAGTTTTCTCGAAACTTTTCAGTTTTATTGCTGCTTCTTTCCCATGATGCTCATTGGTTCTTTTAACTTATCAATTTTTGTGTCAATATTGGATCAACATTTTGTTGATTTTAATCGCTATATCTAACCAATTTAATCTCTATTAAAGATTTGTTGTCGATTAATTATCATTGCTAATATGTAAAATATAAAGATATAAAAGCGCCAACATTTTACATTTTTTAAGATCGTGCAAAGATCCTTTGTTTAATATTTATTTTAAAATATAACTTATTTTAATATAGTTTTATTTTACCATATATGCGTATGAAGAAACATATTTCAAGCAAGAATTATAAATCCGAAGTAGAAAAATATGAAATTGACGCGAATTTTGTTCTCCCAACACTTATCTCTCTCACAGCTTGTATATTTCAAAATGTAAAAAAAGGAGTCCATGGTGTTCAAGAAACTACATATGAAGACACGGCGATACGTTATGATATGTAATATGCACAAAAAATTACTAATTATAGTCTATAAACGAAAATAATTGAAGTGCATTTTATTTAAACATGTTTGACTTGTTGGTGCTACACAGTATCGGCATCATCATTTTCATCCCATCATCATTTTGTTATTTATTGTTTCTTAAGCGCACGATCGTGACTACATGATCGCGCAGGCCGATATGAGAATCAATCGGGATCATCGAAAAATCTATAACGAACACAAAAGAACACACTGAGATCGATGTCGTGACGAGGAAAACTTTCTCCTTGGCGAGGGTGCGATGTAACAAAAGAGAAATGACGAACGCGCGTACCTGGGAGGAACCGAGACTGGTAATCGAATCTGATAGTCTAATTATGTTAGTTGCATAACCATAGTGCTTGATTCAACATTGGAAATTAAAACTATTCACGAATATCGAACGAAATTATCTTGAGGATACCTGTTATGTTAAGCAATCTGAAAAGAGAGATACAATTAATTTTCTCAAATTAAAATAATTTTTGATTATATAAAAAAATAATATAAATAACGAAAAAAGATATTATTCAAGAAAACTTATTCTTTTATCACACATCCATAATAGAAAAAATTAAGTTAAAATATAAAATTAAATTAAATTAAATTTCAAAAAAAGTTTTTATATAATAATTTGTTCAAGATTTAGGCTTTTAAAGTTAGAATTCATTACTTTGTTATTTACTAAAAGAGATGCTATTGGATCGATCTTTGAAACCGTTTCGCCTGCGCAGCAATTCGATCTCTGAACCTCACGAATTGCGATGAAACGCGAGAAGGAGAACGTAGTGCACGGAGAATGATCGGGATCAGATCATATCTTTCGAACATGCAGCCAACTATTGTATTTACCGTCCGCGCGGAGGCGGGCTTTAGATTTGTGTAGAGATATTTCGCGCATTTAATTGGCGGTGCTAGACATTTATCGACAAGAAAACGGCTCTTACAATGAGATATTTGATAGTTGAGTAATGTGATTTCCACACGAACGACGATTGTTAAAGAATAATTGTCGTCTTGTTCTATATATAGAAAGCAAGAGAGAGAAATGATAAAATGAAATGTTGAATTAAAGGTCGATTGAACGAAATCGTTTCATTAATTTTTAAAGTTTTTTATTAAAGTAATTTATCTCGATTATATCATATCACGTATAGTAAAATATCTTATTTACTTCCTGAAGTAGTTACCTTATATCAGAAAACATGCATGACAATTAATCATGATGCAATTGAAGTTACCGTTCGGTATTCGAAATGTCGATCAAAGTCAACGTATCTAGAATTGTCAATCGCAAGTAGCAATTCGGTCGAGGCGTGATTTCGTGGCGGTAGCGTGAGAGATCTACGATGATCGGGCTAGCGATTAGATATTTCGAGGTGCATTCAATCGTTGCATCCGGCCTGATTGCGAGACTCGTATGCAGATTCCCGTACGGATATCACGGGATACAAGCTTGTAGAGATGTAGGCGATTTCGATTTGCCAGATCATAGAATACGAGATAAGAATTTATAGAAAAATTTAATGAAAAGAATTTATAGAAAAAAGAATATTATTTCGTTAATCGTGTTTGCAACATATTGTAATATATTTATATTCAAGATATGGCCATATGTGTATTTCTCTCACTATTGTTTCAAAATCAGTAATCGGCATACTATATAATGCAATATAGGAATAAACAAATTTATTAAATAGCCGAATTAGAAAAACTGGGTGGAGCGAATGCCACATTTTCCCGTCCAACGTAGATTCCTTAAAATATGCCCCGGGGGCAGAGTGATTTACGAGAGAAGAGACGTCAGAGTCCGAGATTGAAGAGGCTTGTCTTGCGCGAAAAATATTTTCAATTTAACGTAACAGAGAGACGAGAATCTTCCCGCCGCGCAATTTCGTACTATTATCCACGCTATTCCTTGAAGCGCGGCATCACCGACGAACTAGTGATTTAATCGTTCCGACCACGGAGATATACACGTTGAATATGGAAAATACCTTAGGAATAAATTAATCTCAAGGACCGCCTCCTCCCGAGTAATTTGTAATCGCGCGACGCTCATTTAATTAACACAACATCGTATTTTACGTTTCTATTAATGCAAATGTAGAAGCACTAGTCTCTGTCTTTCTCTTTCTCTTTCTCTGTCTTTCTCTCTCTTACGTTGCCAGATCGATACGCGATTTTGCGACACAGTACATTTATTAATACGCAGGCATCTCTCGTCCTTTTTCGGCGCGAGACGCACCATTGTCCTCGAACGTGGCATAAGCGAGCTTCTGAATGTAACGGACACCGGCTAATGCGATGTCGTAATTCTCGTTTTTATACTCACGGCACGTCCCGCCGTAAGATGCGCGCATTTATCTTATTTAAATCGCATGCTTTTGTGTATCCGCGAGGATACGTGCCACACGAAGATTGTGTCGCGTTTTGGATTAGCACGTGCTCCGTTCCTAGAATATTGCTCGCCCAGAGAGTACTATTTCTCAGCCGGAATTGCGAAAATCTATTTTCGAGGATATCTTTAAACAGAATAATTCAGTAATTGTATAATAATAAATACACGATGCGAATAAAAAATTCGATGCAAATTTTTCGCAGAAATTCTCTTCGAAAAATTTAGTAATAGTAAATTACGCAATAATTAAAAATGTAGCTGAAAAATATACATATAAACGACGCTAAATTTTGCGTATTACGAGATATGTTTGATAGCGCTGACAATTATGTCAAAGTCTCCCACTATTTCGCCACGTTCATTATTACGTCATCTACACATGCGGCCCGTTATTAAATATCGCTTCGTGTCATCCGCGAACTAGCCAACCGAATTCATTTCATCGATGTATTCAAATCACGAGCTATTTGATGTTTTAATAAACGAAACATCCATGATGCGTTTATGGCACAATAAAATCGAATGAATAAAATCTCTCCATCGAATAAAAACGCGTAACTAAATTTTCAGCATTTTTATTTCATCTCTAGGAGCAATACTTAATATAAACATTGTCGTCGCAATGATTCTTTGCACGCGCTGCAGGATTTCTTAATTAACACAATAGTACTAATTAGTACTAATTTCGCATTCTGAAATGACATTCTTCGCAACGCGAAAGGAATTTATCTTATGCAAAACTCGTATGATATATATGTAAATGTTAGAAAATGAAACATAAAGATTGTGATATAAACATGTAACTTCAATGAACTTAATTTTCAACATTATAAATTAATGAGAATTTTGAATTCACACATTTTGAATAATTAACGATCTGAACATAATAATAAACCTTTTATAAGTTGTCCTCCTCGGGATGCTGGGCGATGTATTCCAAAGCTTTTAGGATACCGGAGGGGATCTTAGGCGTCGTCGGCAGATGATCACCCTTAGGCTGGAAACCGTTTTCGTCGGCGACATAGCTCAGGGCAACGGATTTGCCATCGGGATTAGGATAACTGAAGGATCCCTGAACATGAACAATGTCTTCTTTGCCATTTTCAGTTTTCACGATCTGACCTTCTTCTTGCACATGAATGCCGTTTCCGGTCTCGTAATTATAGTTGTACGAACCGTCCGAATTTGGTCCGTAAATATTCAAAGTCAAGCTGGTCTTTGTCTCTGGTTTCAGTGGAGAAAGCGCAAACACTGCGGACACGCAGAAAAGTATGGCGATCTGGAAAAAATATTCTACGATTAAGCCAGGATGAAAGATTGAATGAATTAGACAGTTGAAATATATATCCCAAATAATATTTCAAAAATGTTCAAAATTCAAGTTTTACATTATTATACTTAACTCCTATTGTAACTCCTTATAATCAATGTATGATATTAATTTGAGTCATATAATATTAATTTTGTTTCAAACTTAATAATCTGAGACTAAAAATATTACAAGTTACATGTGCATAGGATAGTTCCTTTTAGCTTTATGAACAATCCGATATTCTTTAAATTAAAAATACAGAAAAATATAAAAAAAATCATAAAAATGCGAATAATTGTGTGGATTAATAATTCTCTATTAATTTTATTAAGTACATAAGACTTACTAAAGTATTCATGATGCTGATCGTGGCTGTTTATAAAATGGAAAAATTGAAGAGGCGCCTTTTATATATAGTATTGCCGAAGGATCACCTTGCTAAGGTGTGAGGATTCTCCTTCTCATTGATATATTTTTAGCCAGTGTATGTTGTCACACATTGACATATGTATGCTGTAACACATTTGATTTGTGGGAACGTAAAGCAAGATGAGTGTAAAAATAGCAACATAAAAATGAAATCTTTAATGCAATATTGATATTTATCAAATATTGATTTTATTCGAAATTAAAATAATATATGTAATACTTAGAAATATTGGAGACTAGTTTGAAAATTTTATTGTTTGAAATTTTTAAGCTTTTCTTCTGTTTAGTTTTATGATTAATCATGATTTTCTTATTTGTTATAAAAATTAATAATAAATAATCTCTCTTTTTTCTCTTTTTCTTCTTTTCAATAAAATTTTGTTAATATTTATTATCTTTTCCTGCGAAATTTCTTATACGTATTCCGCATGCTATACATGTTCACAAAGTAAGCACGTATGGTATGCGTTTACCTAAGGCTAACAAAATTCAAGATCAGTTTAGTCAAGAGAGCTTTAAGATATGGACATATTTGTAGATAAATTAAATTTGTAGATAATCTATTCTTTACACAAAAATTAATCAAAGACTATTTCATAAAATTAAAATATAAATTTTTTATTAAAGAATTTGAAGAACAAGTTCTTTCTTACAAAAAAGTATTAAATCCATATATGTAGTAAGAGAGCGTTTGAAAGATAGCTTCTCTCTTACATCGGATAAATATTGTGCTGCAAAATATTAAAGGTAACAAGGTAAACATTGTCAAGCAAACATGTTGGTCACAAAGGATTATCCTTCGTACATATGTTTCAAAGAAATAAAAATTCTCTCTACGCTAAGTCGATTGTAAATTTTTCTTGGTGTTGGTTGGGACGTGGAATTTCCTAATACGGTATACGTTTTGGCTGCTTTTCGTTGACCCGATGATCTCGTTATGTGAATTTTCATTACATTATGTGCGTTATAAATTCAGCCAACGTGTAACAAATTCGCGGAGCCTTGGGACAACGCAAACCGAATACGAAAATTTATTTATCATTTATCCTGATCTGTCACACGACAGGATGATGACAACAGCTAGTATTCCTCAACTATTTTTTCATATCTTAAGAAAGTAAATAATTGAATATTTAGGTGTAAAAACGCTTTAAAATACGCTTTAACATCTTTCAAATGCTAAGAAATTGCTTTAAATAGTAATGTACTCAATATTTTATTACTTATTGTACTTATTTTATACTAAATGTAATAAATAAATAAAAATTGTGAATATAACAGTGTCTTTATTTTCGAATAATTTTTAATTTTATGCTACTTTTAATTTACAATAATTAAGATCATTAAAATCATAGCACATGATGTTTAGAAAATTTATTATTCTATTTATTTTATATTTTATATTTTTTGTTTGTTTAAAATATTACATTCTAGTAATTATATTTATCCATTTAAATTATAAAAATAGAAACCAAGTGTGTTTATTTGTTTCACTCGAAAATCTATTTCTCTTTGTAAGAAAATTATTGTAGCTTTATTCTAAATACAGAGCTTAAGTAATGTAATTTAAGTATCGTATAAAAAAACCGATCGAAAGATAACGAAACGCACACACGATTCCAGTATCTTTTTTTCAAAGACTATAAATTTCACTAACATGTATCTACACACAATTGTAGCGCGTGTCATTAATCTCTCGATTAGAAAAAGGTCATAAGTCGAAGGACTAGCACGATCGTATCCTTTTAATCGGTAGCTACTTGGATTTCTTCTTCTGAAGTGAGTAATGCGTAAAAACGAAAGTCTTTAGTGAAACTATTTGTATAAATCTATAGATAAATAAAGTGACTGTGAAGAGATGCAAATTCAGTAATAGGAATTAATGCTTACTCCACGACAATGTATTTTAAAATGCACCAATCAGAAATTGCATTGGTACACGTAAACAGATGTTAAAAAATTCGCTAAATCGTACATTCATAAATCATAGTTGAAAACAAGAACATATTGTGTGTATTTCATGCTAAACAGCATAATATTTTTCTTGTCAAATATGCTAGAAGGATTTTATCTCCGAAAGCGAAACTTATACGTGGATGTCATCCTTTTGCGCAACTCTTACTTCAACGTTAAATTATTTTGGTAATTATATAAATTTCTCTACAATAAATTCTCACACAAATTGCACAAATATGTATTAGCAGAAAAATAAAGTTACTCTGTCTGTTTGTATCCTTGAAATTTAATTTATGAGAGTTTCAAGGTTTTTAATTTTTTATGATTCAGGAATTGTGTCAGCAAAATATCGAATTTTATTTTAAAAAATATATATAAGTCAATTGCAAATTTATGAGTCAAACTAACAAAAAAAAAAACTTAAGGTTTTTTGTATAATATTTCACCCGAATAAAAGATTAAATTTTTCATTATGATTCTGCGGCATCTTCGTAAAATTTTTCTAATACACTATGTTTCATCACTAGCAATTATTAATGTTATATTAGTATGTATAAAATGTTATATTAGTATTTCTATATATAAGTATATTAGAGACTAATTATTGTTTTAAAAAAAGTATAAAAATCGATGTGTCCTGCTTTTATGCATTAAATATTTGTAGAGTTGGGATAGAGTAATCTTCAGATAAAAGTAATTTACATGTTAATCATGTTTAACGCTATCCTAATTCTATGTAAGTTCTATGTAAGTTACAATGGAAATGTCACTTTGAGTCCTCTAGCTGACTTCGTGCAGGATTCCATGCTGATCTCTTCTTGCTATCGATAAAGCAGAATTGGGACTTGCGATTTTCTCTGCGCGGCCTTATTATATTTAGAAAAAATAATTATAATAGAAATAAATAAGACAAATATTAAATCATTAATAAAATTTATAATTTTTTCCTCTTTAAAAATTAAATATTATTTCAGAATTCTGAATCTTAATCACGAATGCTCGTCGTTTATGATGATGATGTAAATATTAACGATAGATCATAAGCAGAGAGTAAGTAAAAGATATCACAGATCGCGCTATAAGATTAAAGAGAATAAAAAAGAAATTTTAGAAATTTTAGAAATTTTACAATTTTAATGTTTTCAAATTTTTGCACAAATTTTAGAAATTTGCAAATTACATCAAACATAATTTTTGCAAATATTAGAACAATAATTCACAATTATCTAGAGTACGCACTAAGAATATTTAATTTATTTTAAATCAGTGAAATGAATAAGTAATGCGTCAAGTCATTTTTTAATAATAAACTTTATATCAATTATCATTTTTTTAGGAATTACTTAAATTGAGAAAAATAAAAACAGAATTAACCAAGAAATAATTTATTCGTTAAATTATAAAACTTAATGTGAATTTCTATTTTAATGTAAGGGCAAAAAGATTTCTTTATTTTCTCTTTTCTTTCTTTTTTAAATTAAATTTTTGAGATTCTTTTATTCGTCGTATATTCAACGAACATTCAACGATATGTAAAGTGCCACTTCATGAAATGCAAGTGTAATAATGCACAGGCGCTGGATTAAGATTACATCAATTTATTTGAATAACGGGAATTTTTTCGCGTCACGATTGATTAGTTTGCGGCTCCGCACAAACATTCTTTATACTGCCGATCGGTAATTTCATTAGGTATCATTTTTCATCTCGATTTTTGCTCGCGCATTTCCAGTGAATACGCCTGCTGGACGTGCCTATGCTGTAAAGTGCTGCAAAGTATAGGTGATGAATTGTCATAATCTGTCGTCCACGGCTCTTTAATCACCAATTACATAACATTTCGTTGAAGCAACTTAAGTGAGTTGGGCTCATCTGTTGCGTGAAAGTAAAAATGCTATGTATAGTATTCAGGTTAGCTGGATGACCTCCGAAACCGAATTACGGCATATCTTATTCCGTTACCGCAGGAGGCAAATGGGATCATCGAAATATTGACCAGTTACAATTAATAGGTTGCGAATTATTCAAGGTAAATTGTGATAATAATTATTAAAATATTCTGAAATGCATTATTTTACATTATTTTGTAATATATGTATAATATAGGATACCGAAACTGTAATAATTTTAATAAAATTGTAGAGACGGTATTTCTTTCAATGCTATTTTTATTGATTCATAACATATTTTTCTATTTAAATTCTTTATGCTTAAAATTTTTGAATAAAATTTGAAATGCCATTTATGTATATGAAGGAACACATAGTTGTTTATCATCTACATGATTTGAAATTCAGTGTAAGCGATCAATACCAAGATATACTGAAGTAATTGCACGTCGTCGTTCATCTGCGTTACAATTTGCGCGTCATGGGAAAATTACAAATGCGGTATTAGATTAATTTAACAAGTGTATCTTGAAATTCGACAAGATAAGACTAACGAGGATACAAGGCGAAGGCGCATAATTAATATAGAAATTAGAAACACATATACGCACGGGTTTAATTTCATTACGAAATACATTGTGTATGGCGAGAGGAGAGAGAGGAGGGGGGCGGCTTATCGAGATTCATTATAAAGACGATATCTAATAACGCTGTTCCTGACTTTCGGCGATTGGGCGAGATTGGCAGCTTCAAACTTGGGTGAAAATTACACGATCGTAAAGTCTGGATGCTGATGATGGATGTCCGCTGACCGTCATGTACGACGATCTCGGCGTAAATAACAGTGATTTGAATAAATAATCAATACGCGCACGATTTTATTTGAATAGTACAAATTTATCATTGACGTAACGGCTATCGATTTAATTCAGCAATAACTTATCTCGTTGTTGTTTTCCGCTATATGATTCCGCGAAATATTTAATATATTGACTTTATTAAACAGGATTGTTCCTTGATTAATATTTAATTGTTTTTTTTGTTTGCATTTTTAATAACATTTCTGTATTTTTTGTGAAGTGACGGAAAGAATGACTTTTCTTCTTCTTTGAAAATTAGATATGTATGTTTCATTGTATAATATTGCGCTATAATACGATAATGCTTAATAATTTCTTGCGAAAACCGTTCACACGTGTCCGAAGATTATCCGCGGGCGATATTACTCAAAACCGAAAGTTGCTGTTGCTAAATATTATTAATATTAAATTTATAATAGCATTGTAATCATACGTAATAGTGCGCGTTATAAATCTTTCGAGATTCTCGTTCTTTCATTCATGCTGAACATAAAAAGCATGGTTTTATTATACGTATTACTTATGAACTATGAAAAAATCAGTTGTACTTACATCTTGCATCAATCCCAATACTCGGAAACAATTCGCAAGATATTGGAGAATTTCGAAATCCAGGCTAAATGCAAACTCAATATTTCGAGAAGAATATTTTTTCCCTCACGGAGATACATAGAATGGTCCAGTGATTTGACTGCATTACATCAATATCGTAGTCGATATCTCATATGTTGTTTTTAATGTCATAAATATGTGGAATTCTCCGATGGTCACGAGTTGTCCTTTAACACAGATATCTGTCTTCTTTATATTCCAATGACGTATTTATTATCGCTACCTATGCATCTTTTTTGATGAAACAAGAAATCCCATGGTGACTTCACTGTTTTTAAAATTACAATATCTTTCTTTCTTTCTGTTCATTTTCGAACAGTTTATAGATTTATAAATAGATTTTGATGATTTTTCAAATGTTTCTCTTGAAATAATAGAATAATTATCTTTTATTAATTTTATTAAAAGAATAAAAAAATTATATAATATTACATGAAAAATTCCAATTTTAAATAAACATAACTGCTGCATAATTATAATTGAAACATATAATAAAATTATTTACAAATACTTATCTCTGATGTTGTAATTCTTTTAAAAAAAATGTTATAAATAAAATTTTATTGAATTTAATATTGAATATATTAGAATATTTTATATTGACACACACATACACACACACACACACACACACATATACATAATATTTATTATTTTTTATTTATATATTTTTATTTACATATTTTTTATTTATATATTTTCTTATAATAATTCTTTCCCAGATTAATGCTATTTTTATATATAAAGCATACTATGTGTGATTGTCCTTGATATTTAACATATATTTATAATATATTTAATATAATATTTATTATATATTATCATATAATATATTATCATATTTGCATATGTATATTTGAAGTTTTATTTAAAATAAATGGATTGTGTAGTTTGTTTTTATAGTAGTTTCTAAATTCCAAATTTGCATCAAGCGTAATGCATGTACATCATCAAATCCTCGTTTGGCAATTGCTAGTAATTCTTTATAGTAATTATTAGACACGGACTGCTATAAAACATGTCATTTCTTTCTTTTATAATGACAAAATGTATAACTTTGTCCATCAGATCTTAATGGGTGAGTCATTTCTTTATTAAATTCAGATTCATTCGACCTTTTGCAATTTTAGGCACAAACATGACTAAATGCTATACGCGTGTGCGTGAATGCGTGTTCGACTCATCTGCAAAATTCGGATGTATAGCTCGCGGAGTGGGGCAATGGACAAACGAGGTCCGGGGCAAAGAGAAGTTTAAATAAGGTATTACCAGAAGATCCTAGATCTTCGGATGGCAGATATATAAAGCGGAAGGCATGTACGGGATGTTAAGTCAGTGCAGTGAGAAACTTTCGAGCAGCAGCTAGGAAAAATAATATACCTTTTTTCAACATGAATTCATTGGTGAGTTTGAGTTTTTGTGCAAGTAAGAGACGTTACGTGAGCATATGAGATATCTACACGTGATCTCGCAGCATGTTTGTAAATGGAATGTTTTTCATAAATTGATATAAGTAATTTCTCTTTCAATGAGACATACAGTGTCTGTACATTTTCTTTAATTTAAAATTAAAATTCAAAATATTTACTTTAAAAATTAAATAATTACGCTAAACTATTTTCGTGAGTTTTATTTCTTTTCTTTTATTAGTATTTACTACATTATGTGATATGTAATATGTAATATAGTTTCAAATTTAAAATATGCAATTCAAAATACTATACAATTTTTTGTCTTTACAGGTAATAACTTTATGCGTCTTCGTGGCAGCAGTATCGATGATAGCAGCATTCCCACAAAATGTTGTAGATGACAGGGTGTTAGCTAGATCTAACAACCAAATTTCTATTGTCAGACAAGCTTCAGATGGGCCGAATCCTGATGGTTCTTACAGCTATAGCTATGAAACCGGTAACGGTATCCAAGCTCAGGAAGATGGTCATCTCAATAACGTGGGTACTGATCAGGAGGCCTTGGAAGCGCGAGGTAGCTACAGTTATACTGACAACGAAGGCAACATCTTCCAAGTCTCATATGTAGCCAACGAGAACGGATTTCAGCCAGAAGGTGCTCACTTGCCTTCAGTACCACCACTAATCCAGAGGGCTCTTCAATATATTGCCGAACATCCTGAGGAAAACGGACAGGAATAAGGCTGGACATGACAAAAAAAATCGGCAAATCACAAACGAATCAGGATAAAATGACCAATCAGAATAAGTTCAACACGGATTCGATGATTGAATTGAGAATTAACAGATATTCAATTCTCATGGAGGCCGACAATCTCGAGATGCCGTTATTCGTGACGTGATTAGTTTTATAATATTTGTATAATATTATCAATATATTTATATAATATATTTGCATATATTATTATTAATTTTATACGGTAAATATGTATTGTAAATCTTGCAAAATGAACGTGTTAAGATTTTGATAATATGTATTAATTTTTGATGCGCATTATTTTACTTTTTCTTTTCCAATGACAGATTTTATAATTTTGTCTTGTCGAATCCTGAATAGTTAAATTCATATTTCTTTACGACTGTATGAAGTTACTTCAATATGTAATTCCGATTTTTCTGCTTAGAGTTCTTGTTTCCTTTTTAAGAGTATAAGAATTCTTATTAATGAAAAAGATTCCGCCAATTAAGAGTTCCAAATTTGAGTTCGAGAAATGGTATGCTAACATCTTGAAAATTGGGACCGAATAATTTTGAGTAATCTAATTGCTTTATTTTGAAAATTTTTAGAGTTTTTGTGTGTGTGTTTTGAACTTATTACTTAAAAAACACTTACTACAATAACTTAAAAAAAACTTAAAATTTAAAACATTGCAATTAATGTAATATTTGATAATGGTGCAGCAATATCGTGCTAGACCAATATAAAAATTTATTTCTTATTATTAAATTTTAAGAAAAGACAAATTACTCTTTATATATTTATATATTTTTATTTATTTTTAACTGTAATTTTATTTTCAATCTAAACTTTGATGTTGATTTTTAATTTGTCATTTTTATTTAATCTGTACTGTAATGAAAAGATAATCTTTCAGAAAAACATATATCGACTGCACAAAGTTAACCTAAATATTTTATATTTTTTTAAGATTCTATAATTACATTAAGTTTAATTTAAGTTTTAGTATTAACATTGCAATAGTTTACAATTAAGCGCTAAATGATCCGAAGAATGGGCCGAAACGTTCGCGTTAATGTTGATCGGCTGATTTTTTTTGAAGTATCAGGAACTCTAATATTGTACAACATAAAGGAATTAGGCTATTCTCAGACTATTTCACCTCGATTTTTGATTAGCACTCTATTTTTTAAATTCAAGTATTTTAGTATCACTAATCGACAGAATTCTTTTTATTTTTATTAATAATAAAGAACTTTTAAACTCTTTAAAAGAAAATTGGTACTTTAATCAGAACTTTACTGAGTTCAAGTTTAGTCAACTTTTTACGCACATATAGGTAATATTAGATTTAAAATCTTGTCAAGGAGATCAGGTTTTGCATGCGTATGTGTGCATGAGCGTTTGGCTCATATACAAATGTGATTTTTTTTTAAAATAAAGATGAGAGCAAGATAGAAGAACCCAGGGTTAAAAAATTCCGGAATCTTCGATGCTAGATATATATATAAAGCCTGTGGAACAAGAGGATATTGAGTCAGTGTAGTGAGAAATGTCCGAGCTGTAGCTATAAAATTATTTCTCTTTTCAACATGAATTTATTAGTGAGTTTAAATTTTTGTGCAAACATATTATATAAGGCAATGTCGAGAAATCTATATATGTAATAACCTATTATTTTTAAACTGAATATTTTTGTGATATAAGTAATATATTCTTTCAAACAATCATAAAAATTTCATTTATAATTCATCAATAATATTTAGATACAAAATTTAATAGTTAAATCATTTACGTTAAATCATTTAAAAGTGTTAATATAATCATATAATTTAAACATTTCTTTAATTGAAAAAAGTAAATTATATGTATGAAATAAGTGCTTATAATAAATGTTATAAAATGCATAAATAAGTCATATAATTCTTTCTTAAGAAATTTTTTAAAAATATAGAAAATCTATCGCTATCATTAATTATATATAAATTGATTAATATTTTATTGCGATCTAACAGATAATCACATACTATATAAGATTTTAATGAATTGTATATATATATATATATATATACGCAAAAAAAGTTTTAAATATTATAAAGTTTTAAATATTATAAAGCGTTTGACTAGAATTATATATCGTAAAGTAGATATTGTACTGGTAATAAATTACTCTTCTGCATTGGATACATTATAATTTAATTTTTACACATTATATTTACACTACATAGATATATCAATGTTCCTATTGCTTGTTAATCGATCTCGGTATAAAAATATTCAGGAATTTTTCGTCCTTTAATAATAAAATTAAAAGAAAAAAATTAAATTAAAGAGTTTTTTAATAAACAAATATTGAAAAAAGAAAAAAGTATTGTTGCTTCTGCGTTTCATCTATCGCGCGTTGGTTCTTATGCCATTTTCTTTTTAATAAAATTAAAATCCAATTTATAGTTTAAACAACTGTATGATTTTTTTATTTTTTTCAGATAATCACTTTATGCGTTCTGATAAAAGCAACAGTAATAATAGCCAAAACAGAAAGATTAACAACCCCTTCTAACATAAATCATGCCAAGCTAGCTTTGTATTATACAGTCGCTAATTATGATACCACTACGCCAACCACTACGCCACTGCGTCAGTACCCAATCATACAACCAAGCAAGCCTCTTTATAATTACACCTATAATGCTGATACCGGCATTCAGGCTCAAGAAAGTGGTCATCTCAATAATATGGGCACCAATCAAGAGGCTCTGGAAGTGCGAGGCAGTTATAGTTACACTGATAAGGAGGGCAATACCTTCCAAGTCTCATATATAGCTAATGAGAACGGATTTCAGCCAAAAGGTGCTCATTTGCCCACAATACCACCATTAATTAAAACAGCTCTTCAGTACATCTCTAAAGAAGAAGAGAGAAGAGGAAAGAAATAACAATGTTGGAAATGAGTAAAATTAATAAATCACAAACAAATCTTGCCAAGATGATAGTTAAAAAAACCAATATTGACTAAATCGTAGTCCTTTTACTAGTAATCTCGAAACACAGTTATTAGCATAGTTATTATTTTTGTATTTATATATAATTATTAAATTTATACAATATTTGTACATAATATTAGTAATTTTGTATCATCGATAAATACATTACAAATTTTCCAAAATAAACTTGTCAATATTTGGATAATATATTAAATTAATTCTTTTCACATAATTCCTCTCAAATTATTGTACATACATACATACATACATACACACACACACATATATATATATATATATATATATATATATATATTTTTTTTTTTAACGATTTTTATTTTGTTATTATTATTCTATATTTCATTATCTTATATCTTTTATTTTTCTTTTTTCAAACTTTACTTGACTTTTACGAATCAAGCAGTCATGAATTCAGTCGAAGGTGCCGAATAATATCGTCTAACATAAGCAATTTATGAATCTAGTGATTAGGCAATTTCATATTTGTAAATGATAGTAAATGATTCGAAACTTAACGATCATCTTTTTCATATATATATATACTGAGCACAAAGAATTGAGATATATATCTATTTATACTTACGAGAAAATTAGTACCACGTATATCATCCAATAAAGCGCGACATTTTGATATGCGAGAGATATTGATATTCGAAAAGAAGTTTTCAAAATTTTAGATCAAATATGAACTATCACACGAGATGTATGATTCAATATAATTAAAATTTTAAGAAGAAAATATATATTGATGAATATGCTAATTCTCGATAAACAATTATTATTATATATTCAATTATTATGAACCTTACATTAATTGCAATTTACATATTGTTTTATATATCATGAATAATAATATATCATTTAACATATCATCTCAAGATTGTTTGATAGTTACGAATCATCCTTTAATATAAATATCCATCTTTTTTATTCCAATGGCGCATTTGTTATTACCTACTCATCAAGTTTCACCAAAAAAATTCATTATTTGCTTTTAAATCTTCCTTTCCTTATGCATTTTTAAACAGTTCTTGCATAATCAAAAAAAAGATTTTAAACAGTTCTTGCATAATCAAAAAAAAGATTTTTACGATTGGATGTCTTCTCCTAAATGATGAAATAATTACTTTGATTAATCATGTTTAAAAAAAATATAGGAAGATGTTGTTAGCATTCGTAGAACTTCTATTCCAAATGAAATAAAATAATTACAATACAATTATGATTGTGATTATCAGGTATAGGCATATGTTATCTTTTCTTTTTATTTTCAATGATATAATTTATCTTTTGCTTCAACGACAGAATTTAACTTGATTAAATCTTGTCAAATCTTAATTAGGCAAATTCACATATTTTTAATAATTAAATGAAAAATTGGCATAAGAGCCACAGCGCAGTAGTTATGGCGTAGGGAAGAAACTACACTTTTTTCTTATTAATTATTGTTTATTTCAAACTAAAAAACTATAAAAATAACAAACGTTTTGTTTTTAATCCTTCTTCAGTGCGATTAACAATATAGAAAAAAAACTATGACATAGCAAAAAAGAGAAAAATTTATCTTTTCCTCGACGTGCAGGTGATGCCAAACTGCATCGCGCGGAGATCTAATAAGCGTGCTGTTTCCAAAAATTCATCAAAAATATTAAAATTTTGCTGTGCAAAATTGTAGCAGATCAGATTCCCCGCTTTTTTTTTTTTTAATCCGTACACAAAATGTCATTAAGTACAGTAATGCCAGAATGGAAACGCATCCGACAACGCAACAGAGGAGATAGGTCTCATATTTTTAAATTCAAATTTAGTCGAAACTTCGATTTTTTATGATCTTATGTTCATATCTCAGATTTAAAATCTCGCTAAGGAAATCAAGTTTTGCATGATGTATATGCATGTGTATTGACTCATCCGCAAATATGGTTTATTGGAATAAAAGAAATGGCAAGAAGATGAAGAGAGGGCTAATTTTTAAAAATCCGGAATTTTCTGTAATATATAAAGCTTTCACAGCATATTAAGTCAGTATAGTGAAAAATTTCTGAGCTGTAGCTAGAAAATAATATATCTTTTTTCGCCATGAATTTATTAGTGAGTATAAAATTTACTCCAATAAGACACATTATATAAGATAGTGTGGTGAGATCTATATGCAGTAATATTTCATTTATAACTAACCAATAATATTTAGATATAAAAATTCAATAGTTACATTAAATTATTTAAAAGTATTGATGCAATTGTAAATTTATAAACATCTTAATTGATCAAAAAGTAAGTTGTGTATAAAATAAATGTTTATAATAAATGTTATAAAATATATAAATACTCCATACATTGTCCGTCTTTCATGAGAAGTTTTTTGATGGATATATAGAGCAACTTAAATCACTAATTATTAATTATAGATAAATTGATTATTGTTTTATTACAATTTAAGATTATAATTATATATTATTCATGTATAAATATAATTAATTGCATGTACATTACGCAGGAAAGTAATATTGAAATACTTTATCAGATTATTATACTATAAGAAAGGACATCGTTTATAATATAAAAATTATAGTATAATAAATTACTTGTTAGCACTAGATCCATTACAATTTAATTTAAATATATTATATATCTACATTACGGAGATATATTATACTTCGGTTCCTATTGCTGGTCGAACTTGTTTATCAAAATATTTAGGAATTTTCTTGTGTTTTGTAATAGAATTAAAATTATTTTATGGTTTAAGGAACATTATATGATTCTTTATTTTTTTAGATAATCACTTTGTGCATTTTATGCATAAAAGCGACAGTGATAATAGCAAAAACAGACAGATTATTTGTAACAATCTCTGCTGCAACAATAAATTCACCTAAGCTTGTTCAATATACCAAAATCACTCGCTTTACGACGCCCATTACTACGCCAAGACCAACTATTTCGTCAACGCCATATTATTCACAATCAAAAAAGTCTCTTTACAATTATAACTATGAAACTGATACCGGCATTCAGGCTCAAAAAGATGGTTATCTCGATATGGGCACTGATCAAGAGAATCTGGAAGCGCGAGGCAGCAATAGTTACATTGACAATGACGGCAAAACCTTCCAAATTTCATATACAGCTAATGAAGATCAATTTCAACCGGAGAGTCCTCAATACTTATCTGCAATACCACTGAAAATTAAATTAATTTAATTATTCAATACATCATTGAACATTTCGAAGAGAATAGAAAAAAAAATGCTGAACATAACAGAAATATGAATAAAATCAGCAAATTGTGATGACAAAATACAGATCGACGAAAACTTCATTCGAAAACGGATTCGATTATGGATGATTCGAGGATTGACAGATATTTGATCTTCGTAAAGGCCGGCTAGTCGATCTTCGTAAAGTCTCGAGACTATTATATCGCAATTATTAGTGTCATGATTATTTTTATATTTCTATATTATGATTAAATTATTTTTATAAATATTTATATTTATAAAAATATTATATTTTTATAAATTAATATCATTAAATAATATTATTAAATTAATATCATTAAATAATAATAATTTTTTATATCTTCATAAATACATATTGTAAAATTTGCAAAATAGATGTGTCAATATTTAAATAATATTCAATTAATTTTTTTCAGATAAAAATTCATTTGTTTTTTTTTATTCTTCTCAAATAATTACTGAGCGTAACTGCGCGCTTATCATATATTTAACATGTGTATAATGAAATATGAAATTAATATAAATTAACATAAATAAAATAAATAAAATAAATTAATATAAATAAATTTTTATTTTGTTATTATTATTCTAGTATTCATTATATTATATTTGCTTTTTTTAATTTGTATTTTTGCGAATCAAGCATGAATTATAAATTTAATCGAAAAAATGTGGAATATGTCTAGCAAATTTATGAATATCGTAATTTTGGCGACTTCGCATTTGTAAATCATGACAATTAATTCAATAAATTTAAATATTTATATTATTCTTTCATTTATATTGAACACAAAGAATCATTGTATGTATCTATTTATACAAAAAAATGATTAACATTTATATCTTTGATATTATACCAACTCCGTTCATAAGACAATCGAGAAGAAGTTTTCGGAATTTCAGATTTAAATGCGAACTCTCGCGCAGGATATAATTTAGTAATTAAATCTTTAAACAGAAGATTGTGAATATTAAATACGATGATTTGATAATATTATGATTCGATTATTATGAATGTTATATTAATTTATTAGACAATTGAATAAAAGTTTTTAAAATTTCTGATGAAATGTGAATTATCGTATGAGATATGATAGAATTTATAACCCTGTCAAATCTTTATTAAATTCATATTTTTACTAAATTCAAGTCCAATCGATTTTCTGCGATCTGAAGTTTATAATCTTAGATTTAAAATCTTGCCAAGGAAATCAAGTTTTGCATGAATGTGTATACATGTGCGGTTACCTCATTCACAAACGTTTATTGAAATGAGCACAATGGCAAGAAGATGAAGAGAGACCTATCTTTTAAAAATATGTGGTATCTTCTATAATGGCAGATATATAAAGCTTACACAGCAAGCATATTAAGTCAGTGTAGTGAGAAGTTTCCGAGAGTTGTAGCGAAAAAAATAGTATATTTTTTCGACATGAATTCATTAGTGAGTTTAAATTTAGCGCGAATAAAACATTATGTAAGGCAGTGTCATGAGATTTGTGTGTATTGTATGTCTGTGTGTATGCAATAATGAATCTATTAATTTTATGAATTAAATATTTTTGTAAATCGAAAGAAGTAATTTTTTTCGGTCAGATAATCATAGTGAAAATTTTATTTAGTTTATAACTAATCAATAATATTTAGGTATGAAAGTTTAATAGTTACATTAAATTATTTAAAAGTATTGATGCAATTATAAATTTAACACATTTTAAATGATTAAAAGGTAAATTGTATACATGAAACAAATGCTTGTAATAGATGTATAAATAAATCGTTTCCTGTTTGTTTTAATAAGTTTTTTCTAGATATATAGTGCAACTTAAATCACTAATCATTAATTATGTATAAATTGATTAATATTTTATTTGTGATTTAAAATATTATAATTATATATTATTTATATAAAAATTTAATTAATGCATGTACAGTAGGCGCCAATAATGCCTTAACATATGAAATTGGTCGCATTCGGGATTAATAATGACTAGATATTATTAAGTTATTATTAGTATCGAATGCGACCAATTTTATGTGTTAAGGCATTATTGGCGCCTACTGTACAAAGAAAAGTAATATTGCAAAGCTCTTTACCAAATTATTATATTGTAAGACGAAAAGACATTGTACCGAAAATAAATGATTCATCAGTACTAGATACATTATAATTTAATTTGGATATTATATTTACACTACAGAGATATATTATATTTCGGTGTCCCTATTGCTTGTCAATCTTGTCAGTACAAAAATATTCTAGAATTTTTTCATGTTTTATAATAAAATTAAAATCCAATTTATGGTTTAAAAATATGATTCTTTGTTTTTTCCAGATAATCACTTTGTGCGTTTTGATAGAAGCGACAGTGATAATAGCGAATACAACAAAAAGATTATCTAGCACAATCCCTCCTACTACTACAAATAAACTTAAGAAGCTTGCTTTCCTTCCTCCTTCTCCTTCTCCTCCAAGATCAAAAAAGTATCTTTACAATTACAACTATAACACTGATACCGGCATACAAGTTCAAGAAGAAGGTAATCTCAATAACGAGGGCACTGATCAGGAAGCCTTAGAAGTGCAAGGTAGTTACAACTTCACGGACAATGAGGGCAACACCTTCCAAGTCTCATATGTAGCCAATGAGAACGGATTTCAGCCGGAGGGTGCTCATTTACCCACAATACCACCATTAATTAGAAAAGCTCTTGAGTATATCAAATATGAAGAGTTTTCCTTCATTCCTGAAGAGATTCCCTTCGAGGATAAAAAGAAATAAGGACATTGGATATAACGAAAATATGATTAAAATTAGCAAATTACGAACGAGTCTTGATAAGATGACAGATCGAAATCTAGAGCAGATTCGATTATGGACAACTTGAGGATTGATAGATATTCGCTTCTTCTACAGATTCTTCCATTTTTGCTTCTTGAAATTGTATTTGAATTTTGCAAACCAAGCAATTAAATTAGCCCAAAAAATGCGAATATGTTTAGTAATTTGTGAATCTAGTGATTAGGCGATTTCATATTTGTGAATTATGGCAATTGATTCAATAAATTTAAATATTATCATTATGATCGTTTTTTCTTATCGTGAGCATAAAGAATTGCGATGTATCTATTTATACGAGAAAATTAGCAGCACTTGTATCATTTGATAACATGCAGAGACCGCTCATGAAACAGTCGAAGGAAAGTTTTCGGAATTTCAAAAATGTGAAATTAAAATCTTAAGAAGAATATAATATGAATTTAGTATCAATATGTTGTAAATATATATTGATGGATATGATAATAATTTTCTATAATATGACAATTCTATTATTATTACATTAATCGTAATCAATACTTATGCATTGTTTTAAATATGAATACATTGCTTTAAACCTGAATACCTTGAGATTCTCTAATGGTCACGTGTTATTCTTCAACACAAATATTTATATCTTTTTTTATTCCAATAATCATTCATCATTATGATATAGTATAAGCTGCATGTTTGACAAAAAAAGAATTCCGTTGTAACTTCATCTATTTATAACAGCTGTTAAATTTTTTTCTTTATGTTTTAAAACAGTCTTCTAACGATTAAGAAGTAAATTTTTATGATCAAATGTCTTTTTTAAATAATTATTCTGAATAATTATATTCAAAAAAACTATTTAAGAGAATTGTTTGTAGCATTCTTTTTATATGTACGCATCATTTAGTACATCATCAAAATCATTCGGTAAGTGTTGCAATTGTTTATTATTATTTATGTGTTATTTTTCTTTTCTTTCTTTAATGATAGATTTTGTTAACTTTATCCTGTTGGATTTTAAATGGACAAAGATTCACACAATTTTTTACTAAATTTAAGTTCGGTTTTAGATTTATATATTGTAAATATACATATATTATACATTTATATATTGTAAATATACATATATTAATGGATATGGTGATTTGATAATATGGCAATTCGATTATTATTACATTAATCGCAATTGTCACATCTACGCATTATTTAAATGTGATTTTACATTTATATATAATCTCAGATTTTAAATCTTGTCAAGCAGGTTTTGCATATATATGCTCGATCGGCTTATTCGCAAACGTGATTTATTTGAATGAGGAAAATGATACGATAGAAGAGTCTATTTTAAAAAGATCCGGAATCTTCAGATAGCAGGTATATATAAAGATTGCACAGCATATTAAGTCAGTTTAGTGAGAAATTTTTGAGCTGTAACTAGAAAAATAATATATTTTTTAAATATGAATTTACTAGTGAGTTTAAATTTTTGCACGAATAAAACGTGTTATATGTAAGGTGTCATGAAATCTGTTACTATAATATATATACAATAAATCTATTACTTTTGTGATAGTTTTATTCTGTAATAGTTACTATAATATATATACAATAATTCTATCACTTTTGTAAATTGAATGTTTTTATAAATTGACACAAGCAATATTTCGTTCAAATTATAATATACAAAGCATAATGAAATTTTGTTTTAAGTTTAAACTTAATGATATTAAGATTTAAAAATTAAATGATTACTGCAAGTCAGCAAAGGTGAAGACATTCATCTCTAAGTGTTTATTTGTTCATTTCCCTCTCAATGACTGTAACTTTACATCAAAGCAAAATGCTTTATATATCGTATATTAATTTATATTTTACATATATCGTAAGATAAGAAAAATATGTTATACTAATAATAAATTACTGTTAAGCACTAAACACTACAATTAAACTTGAAAATATTATATTTGTACTACAGAAATATTTTTCAGCGTCCTTACTTCATATTAATTGAATTCATTATTAGTATAAGAATATTCAGGAATTTTCTATTTATTCTCCAACAGAATTTAAATACAAAGGTTTATAATAATTTATATATAAATAATTTATATGTAAAGAACTATATGATTTTTTATCTTTTTAGATAATCACTGTGTGCGTTTTGATAGAAGCGACAGTGATAATGACAGCGAAACCAGCAAGATTATCTGTAACAAACTCTCCTGCAACTTTAAATCAGGGTAAATTTTATGCATATACCTACAAGTATAATCCCAGTCCTTCTACTACACCCTTTAGTACAAGATCAACGTCAACGCCAACGCCATACTATTCACGATCAAAAAAGTCTCTTTACAATTACAATTATAATACTGATACCAGTATCCAGGCTCAAGAACAAAATTATCTCAATAACTTGAGCACGGATCAAGAGACTCTGAAAGAGCGAGGCAGCTATAATTATATTGACAATGACGGCAACACTTTCCAAGTATCACATATAGCCCATGAAGATGGATTTCAGCCGAAGGATGCTCACTTGCCTACATTACCATCACTAATCAAGAAGGCTCTTCAGAACATCGCCGAATATTCCAAAAGGAATGGGAAAGAATAAAAATGTTAAATATTGCGGAAATATCGTAAAATTATGAATGAGATCTCATAAGATGACAGATTGAAGAAAAAGTATGTTTTTGATGTTTAATATATTTTTAAGGATTTATATAGCTGCAGAAACAAAATTTATTTCCAAACCTGCTCAACAAAAATTATATTTTATAAAGAGAGAGAAATAATAGTTCCCTTATGTATGTTAAATAATTCCAGTATATGTTCTAGTTTACTATTTATTATGTTTTTGCATATATATTCAAATAAAAAGGAATAAAATATCTTATTATAATTCTTTTCTAGTGATTAATGACATTTAAATAATTGGTTGCATTGACATTATAAGTGTTTCTGATAATAATGATATCTATCATGTTCTTATATTAATATTTGTAATTTTGTTTGCAATAAGTAGACTGCATAATGTTTTTACAATATTCAAAATACAAAATTGCATGAAACATATTGCATATATTATTTGGCATGTCATCAAATTTGTTTGGCAATTTCTATGATTTGATTATTGATTATACTATAATTATATGAAAGATATAGATGCATATTATTTTTCTTTTCTATTTTTTCCCATGATTTATAACTTTGATCTGTCGAATCCTAAATGGATGAATTTACATTTTTTTACTAAATTTAAATTTAGCCTTTTTAAATTTAGATGATTCGATACGTTTTTGATTCGATACGTTTAAATGATTTATCAAGTACAAATTCTGCCAAGGAGATCAGGTTGTGCATGTAGGTGCATGCATGAACATTTGACTAATTTGCAAACGTGATTTATGGAAATGATGAAAGTGGCAAGGAAAGAGAAGAGAAGAGAGCCTAAATATTTTAAAAAATTTCAAAATCTTTGGATGGTATGATAGTAGATATATAAAGCTTGCAGAGTAATTAACTCAGTGTTGTGAGAAATTTCCGAGCAGTAACTAGCGAAATAGTATATCTTTATATGAGATGAATTTATTAGTGAGTTTAATTTTTTGTGCAAATAAGTGCGTTCTGTAACGTGATGTTGCGAAATATTTATATACACAGTCTATGATTTTTATAAATTAAATACTTTTTTAAATCAATGCAAGTAATGTCCTTTAGATCAGAATAAAAATCATAATGAAAATTTTTTAGTGTAAAACTTATTAATAATATCAAAATATAAAAATTAATTATAGTTATGTCAAATCATCTAATATTTAATATTATTGATAAAACTATTTAACTTAAACGTTTCAATTAATGAATATATATGAAATAAATGTTTAACAAATATCAATGCATAAAATGCACAAAAATTGTTATTTTTCTCGAAAAGTGTTTTTCAGAAATATAGAACTTAAATTTTCATAATATAAAATCGAAATTTTTATTTTAATGAATTTTTATGTACAATTATTAGAATAAAATTAATTTTATATAAGATAATATATATTTGTAAGTTTGACATTAAATTATATTCTACAGGACAAATCTTTACTTTAATTTTTTCATAAATTAATTTTATATGTTAAAAGACAAAAAGTGTAATGTCCAATTCATGAATCTCGAAATTATAGATTTATATAATAGATTTATATTACCTTTGACATAGCTGATCCAATTCAATTCCTCCTTAATTAATTTTGTCAATTTAAGAATATTTATTTATAATTATATTTTTTCTTATTCTATAATAGAATTTGAATCAAATCAACAGTACACAGATAGACACATAGCAATATATATATAATTTACAAAAAACTATATAATCCTTTGTTTTTTCAGACAATCATTTTGTGCATTCTGATGAAAACGGCAATAATAATAGCGAAAACACAAAGATTATTTGTAACACACTCTCCCGATATAAATCAGAATAAGCTCGTAAGTATTATATATATATATATATATACACACAACCCCTACTACTTTATATATATATATATATGTGTGTGTGTGTGTGTGTGTGTGTGTGTGTGTGTGTGTGTGTGTGTGTGTGTGTGTATATAAATTTAGCATTACTACTCAGATAGCAAGTCTCTTTACAACTAATTACAACACTGACACCGACATTCTTATTCAGATAGTCAGTTACCCCAGAGTCAGTAATGAGGTCGTCGACTACAAGATCCTGGAAACGCGAGGTGAAGGCTACAATTATACTGACGATGCGACAATGATAACAGTAAAAAGAAAAACGTCACCTATAAGATTACCTATACTATCCAAAAAGGAATCACTTAATATGTCACCTATAAGATTACCTATACTATCAAAAAAGGAATCACTTAATATGAACGAGATGTTTGCATTTGGATTGTCATTGAGAACACCTTCTATATTTCCAACGATGCCATTATTTTCCCGTTACTATCTACCAAGCAAGTCTCTTTATAGCTATAATACTGATACCGGCGTCCAAGTCCAAAAAGATGATTATGCAGACACCGAGTTAAAAGCTCCGGAGGCATGAAATAATTATTAACGCTAAGGATAATGCTTACAAGGGCATATTATATATAGCTAATGAAAATAAATTCCAATTGAAATTAACTCATCTACACACACATTAATCAGATTCTTCAATATATTGTTGAACATCCCGAAAAGAACGGAAAGCAATAAGAACATTGAAATGGAACAATATGAGTAGAATCGATGATAAGCTTGGACAAAATGAGAGATCAACATGCACTTGATGACATCGCGAAACATGGAGTACTTAGTTCCTGTAGCAATTCTAAGATTTGATGCTTTTTGTAATTATTTTTGCGCTTAAAATTAATTTTTATTTTCTGTATCTGTCTAAGAAAATCTCGATAATATCCTGTAAATAAATATCATCAATATTATAAGCATATCCCTCTTATTGAATTGGTATCTATCAAGAGCGAGATCAGATAATATCTGTTTTTTAATTATTATGTTAACAGCTGCTTACAACGTTTTTAAGGGAGGAGCGTTAATAATGCAGAGGAGCTATAAAATTGCGGAAAGTTTGATGTACTATGTGTTTTTTCGAGAAAAAAAATGGTAAGCATTATTAGCGTCTCGATTTTGAATAATTATACCTTTTGACATTTTTATTTTCAAATTACTTCAAAATAAAAACCTTAAGTGCACAATTTCACGGAGACAACAATAATTTAATTTGGAAGAATATACATCATTCAGATATATAAATGATTATAATAGAAAGAAAAAACATTACATAAATAAATTATAATACACATATGAAATAATTGTATGAATATATAGTGCTTTCATTAATGTTCTTGAAAATCACATTTAGTAGTATCGCATATGATTGTAAATTAAACTTGTTGTAAATTTGTTCTACAAAAATCAATCTTTGTTAAGAAATGTTTAGAAAAACATCAAATGTATTTATGTATGAATTAAAAAAAAATAATCTCAGCGTATACTTACTTATTATTTGCTTGTATACACATTCGAATGTCGTATCCACTATCAATTATTCATTTCAGTTTAAAATGACAACAATGAAAACGTGACAATAGACGAAGATTATACTTGAATAACGTAAAAAATTTCTTTTTCTCTTATCTTTATATTTTAAAATATTTCATTTTCTGCGTTTATTAATTGTGATTATGCGCAAATTCTTCGAAGTATAATGAAAATATGTGAGGTATGAAAGAAAAATAAAAATATTTTTGTTTATTTGTAGAAAAATTAGTGATATCGGTTCTATCTATGATAGGAAGCAACGTAATCTTCATTCAAAGTTCATCCAATGAAACAGTAGTATCTTGGGAGAGTTTCTATAAAAATATAAGTTTATTGAATGTTATATTACGATGCGGCAAATATATGGGCGGACTTAATTCGAGGACGCGCATTTAGTTTCGTTTATTCGAAAAGAATCTCTGCGGGCGATTGTCGCGAGGCACAGCATTTTGCGTCGGATTGTCTTTCTCGATCGGTTCCGGAGTGGTGGGCTGCTTAGCAAGCCATTCCAGGGCACGTTGGATCTCCGGTGGGATGGGCGGCGGGGTGGGGAGATGGGATCCGGCTACCTGGGTGCCGAATTCATCGGCGGTCCAGCTTATGGAGATAGGGGTTCCGTCCGGCGCGTTGTACTGAACGGAGCCCTGGATCAGCTGTGCCTCGTCTTCGGTGCCGGCGTACTTGCGACTGCCGGTCTCTTGTTGGATGATTCCGCCCGCCGTTTCATAAGCGAAGGAATAATGTCCGCGGGAATCGCCCAGATCGCGTGCGTAGCTGACGAGCCTCTCTGGTTCCGGAGAGAATTGACCGTGAACCAATCCAAGCAGGGCTATTAACAGCTAAAAATGTAAAGGTAAAGTTATAATAGTATCTTTTTTCTCTTCTTCGCAATCGTATCTATCTTTTAAAAGTAAATATATTATTGCAAATTTCAAAATTGTCAAACGCAGAATCAGTTTATGTATTATGTATTATGTATCTGCCGTTTATTAAATTTCATGTTTGAGGATTAAACTTGCAGGGATTTTAAAATTATTAAATATTTGTAGAAACTTATATAAGTATCACGATTTGATCGATAATGTTTACGTTATTTATTTTAAAGGCTATGTAAATATTTGCTTGATAAAATTTATATTCGTGTTTTACATTAAAATCTAAAATGTCTCAAAACTGTGCTTGATTTATTCGCGAAAATGTGCGCGATAGTGTGTATAATGGCGGTGATTAATGATTCATCATAAATATCGAGTTAATTACATCATTCTATAACGTCTGGAATTAATGGGACAGCGATGACACCGGGCGTCCTTCTCGTGACAAACTCTCACTTATCGAGTAATAAATACATTGACTTCATATGGCAAACGTTTACGATCACACTAAATTTGTTTAGACTTTGCAAGCGTAAAGGCCATATTAAAAATATTAAGAATGTAGCTCGCATTATTACATGAATACGTTAATGGACATATTTGGCACGTGATAATCAAGATGGATAGTATCCAGGCAGCATCGAAAGGTTGGAGTCGTTTAATTGTAATTCTATCTCTAGGAGGATGTTTAATGACGTCGATGCGGACCGAAGTGGAGAACTATCTATACACACACTACGCGCTTTGTAATCCGCGTCATGTCCATCTTATAAAGAGACGCTGGAGATACCTTTCCCCGCAAAAGGTCAGCATAAAATGAATGCGTTGGTAGGTAGATAGGTCACGATATATTCATTGCGATCGGTAAGAGGAACGGGAGGGTCATCGCACGCTAATGACACCGTATTACGTTACAATCGTTTCGAACTTTTTCCCATAATTATAGTTTCCAATTAGCATCCAAGACCGATTCGTTTTGTCGCCGGTTTAACAGGTGTGCTTGTCACCGTCCATCACCGTGCAACACCGAACCAATCGACATAAATATTTCCTTGAATGAAAGGGAATCTTATAAGAAGCATCGATATTAACATAATTGTAATTAAAATTTAAAAAGTTGAAAATTATATTGAAATAATTTCAAATTTGTAATTTTTTATAGAAAAATAGAGTATCATACTGTTTTTTCTTTTTTCGAAATTTTTATTGTTTTAAAAATTTTACACTCTTAAAAATCTTTCTTAATTCATATTTTATAATATTATATTCTTTGGCAAACTATTGTGATTTTTGTTCGTTTTGCTTCAAGATGTATTCTTTACGATAACGATCATTGATCAATAATAATATTGTTACTAGATATGGAGCAGATGTTTTGGATTGCTCGATCAATATAAGTCTTTTATACGAGAAAGTAGATGCTTAGAAAAAAAATGTAAATTAATGATTTAGAATTTATTCGCTGTAGTGGACGAGCTATCTTCTATGCAAGATGCGCGATAATGTTGCCGTTATGTGAGCTTTACAATTTAATGGAGTTATGTAATTTAATAGATTATATAATATTGTAATGGTTGTTTTGTGCTGCATAACTTTCATGCGATGACAAATAGCCCTACCATATAACGTTAAATCATGTACGATCGAAATTATGAATATATAATATGTATACGTGACCAATTTCAATTTCGCGATTTTGAGAAATCAATGATCGGATTTGCGTTTATTGTTATGGAAATTAAATGTATGAAGTATGATTAATATAGAGATATGTATGGAAATTGAAAACGTCCTATTTTTCAAAAGGAATTATTGCAAGGAAAAATTTATATCCTAGTTTTATCGACATTTTTATCAGAGTGATTTATCATAACTGTGTAATCATAAATAAAGAAATAGATGACATTAATAAATGATTTTTAAATAATAAAATCTGTATTGAGAGAAGAGAGAGAGATTGATGATGCCAATTTAAAATGCACACATTGATGAATATAGTGAAAGCGCGAGTTGTTACTTTTTATATTGTCAGAGCTTGATATAATGTTTAATGTTACGTCAAAAATGCACAATATATATATATATATATATATATATATATATATACATATATTACATCTATATATTTTACATCTATAATTTATGTGTATGTTCTCTTGTTCCAGATACACATAAAGCTCGTAAAGTTACAAGAGTACAGTGGCACATCATACTTTATCTGCGCTACGCGTAAAAGCTTCTTCCACAAAAGCAGTCTGCCTCGTAAAATTACAACTTATGTTTATACATATATATAACATGAAAGTTATCTTTATAAGTATCAGACCAAAATTTGTTAGATATTTTTTTATATAAAATATATATATTTTTTAATACTTAAGAAGTTCAGTAAACATAAAACAGTTTTAATTATTGTCATTTGTTTTACGTCTGAACATTTGAATTATTTATATGACCACAAACTATGGTTTATGTACAAATGACAAAGATTTTTTGCAACTATATTTGGTATCATCATATCATAAAAGAAAGATATTGGTTCTCCGATTTTCCTTTTCATTTTGCTCTTTTTACATATTTGTATTACATTTAGTACATATTTATGAATCAAATAGATTGTTATGGCTCAACAATTCAAAGTTAAATTATACAATAAATTGTACTATTTAGTAAGATCTAAGAAAAATTTAAAGAGAAGCGCACTTACCAGGGTACGCATGTTGCTCGACGATGGACTCACGTGTTTTATGTTATGATTACAATGCACGTGCCCGAAAAGCGAAGCGCCTTGAGTCGAGTAGAGTACGGGCGTTTTTTTAAGTGAAATAAATAATACTGACAAAAAGGCAGGCAAGCAAACAGACAACGTCACATGTAGAGTGTCGCTCGCCTCTCTCGATGATTGCCGGCGTGGAGTTCGCGAGCAACTCTCGGACCGTTGGGGGCAAAGCCGACCTTTATACCGGCGAGGTGCACGAAGCGGAGGCGCCGGTCTTTACATAACCCGGGAAAGTTTATTTCGGCGTGGCCGCGCCGCTGCCCCTGAGAGTTCCAGAGAATCGGGAGCACGTCGCCCAGGTGTCACCCCCGCTCGAAATCTCCGGGACACGCGGTCTTCTTCCGCACTTGCGTTCTCCATCTGCCTCCGGGGACCATTCGCACCCGCGACGCGCATTGCGTACATTCGTGTTACACGCGCGACACCGGACTTTTCCTCCTTCGAGTCTAACAAGACTCGAGAGACGGCGATGTCGGCCGTACGGCTTGCAGTTTTCGCGCTTACATAATGAGACGATATGAGGCAAACGACGGTTATGCCTTGCGCAACCTGCGAAGTCTCCTCTCGAGACGATCTCGGAAGCAATAATCGAAAAAGAGAAGTCGCTGTATCTTCAAGAGAAGATACAGCGACTTCTCTTTTTCGATTATTGCTTCCGAGATCGTTCTGATCTCCACGACTGCGTCGGTGAAAAGAAAAAGATAACTGATCGCATTTTTAAAGAAATGATTTTCAATATAAGAGATTTAAATCGATACAAGGGAGTCGAGATTTATTAATGTAGAGACACATAATAAATGTAATCTCTCCAAAAAGCATATTCTGACAACGACCTGAAAGGCGATGACTTGTGCACGCTTGATTATATCTCGAGACGATCTCGGAAGCAATAATCGAAAAAGAGAAGTCGCTATATCTTCTCTTGAAGATACAGCGACTTCTCTTTTTCGATTATTGCTTCCGAGATCGTTCTGATCTCCACGACTGCGTCGGTGAAAAGAAAAAGATAACTGATCGCATTTTTTTAAAGAAATGATTTTCAATATAAGAGATTTAAATCGATACAAGGGAGTCGAGATTTATTAATGTAGAGACACATAATAAATGTAATCTCTCCAAAAAGCATATTCTGACAACGACCTGAAAGGCGATGACTTGTGCACGTTTGATTATTAATGTCATAACACATGAATTTATGCGCATTTTGAAATACATATGCATATATATGCATATACATATATGCATTTTCATGTGTTAACATATCGATAATCCGGTGTGACCAAATTAAAATAATTTAGCTGACAGCGATTTCATTGCTGTTTTATGATCTTGCTGGATACGAAGTAATAAGTTGCAGCGTCTCTGGTTGTAACCGCGATCGAGGTATTTACGAAATACAGCTTACATAGATTTTTATCGCATATTCTAAGATTCTATGAAGAAATCTCTTCGAAGAGACTAGAGAAATCATATGAGGTTCTTATCCGATACAAAGAACCCAGAAAAAAATATGAAATTCGGAGAAACGAAGAATTATTTTCATGTGAAATGATGTAAGAAAGCATTTCGAAATATCATATAAATTTTTTAATAACTAATCATAGATTTTGGAATAGAAATCTTTATTCTATCATTATTCGAACGCCAGAAGCGCGAACGTGTTCACGAGAAAAAGATAATGATTGGAATTATTCAACAAGTAGCTGTAGAAACGTCTACGTGGGTTTTAATGTCAAATGCAAACGAACGCGTACAATGCACCGTGAAAGGACTTCGTGATCCTAAAATCTGGAGATCTCCATCGAGAACAGAATGGATCTTATAAAAATTAAGTAACGGTTGCTTTTAATACGACTAACCATCGCGAAACTCATCTTCGTTGTTGTTTACGTCATCTATAATTTCTAATACGTGTAATATTACGATAGCAAAAACATTTTTGTTATCCAAATCTACGAAATTGACTCTGCTTTGCAAATTTGAATAGCAGATTGCTCAAATTCTAATCACGCTGCTCGTAATTACGCGGTTATTTTCCTCTTTACAATAAGCAGAGAAAGATTAGGTTCAATTGTGCCTGTTACTTATCGGAGGGTAATGACACTAGCGTCTCGAACATCATGACCAGTTACCGTGGGAATTGAGCATGATTGAGCTACCAGCCTGGTCCTTGACCTAATGATCTTACCGTCGTGTTACATGAGCAAATGAGCAAACACGTAGATGAGAAAGTATTACAAGATAATCGATATTTATCGCGAAAGAGAAGAATAGTGCAATAAAAAAAAAAGGAATCTTTCTCTGTTTTAAACAGGACGCGAGCCCTCTTTGAACAGATATATACATTATATATATAATACTATATAATATACTATATAATACTATATAATACTGTATAATATTATGTATGTAATATACTTGAGTCATCAGACATATAACTGTAAATATATCTCGTGATTTTTCGTATTTTAATATTCCTGTAATTAATATAGTTTGTAAGCTACTTTCAAAAAGATTTGCCTATAATGAAAATTATTTGTATACAATCTTGTTTATTTTTAAATATTTCTGTAATATATAGTTATTATAAATAAATTATACTTTTTATTTTAAAAAATTATTACATAGAGATTTACGATAATTAACTCTTTAACTACGGCTGTCGTTAATAGACGACGAACAGGAATGCATATCCATAGTTAAAGGGTTAAAAATCAAACATAAATTTTTCCCTCCATAAGTTAAAATTGAATTTTTTTTGTTTTCTCAATATATAAAAATTATATTATAACTTTTTTTTATTCTAATATATTTAATATCTTTTTTGAATATCTTGTTAAAAGATATTTTAATTAAAAATATTAATTAGATATTTTAATTAAAAATATTAATTAGAAATAATTTGTTTATTCTAATAATTCTTATAATTTTATAAATGTATTTAGAAATGTTATTTTTACTATCTCTTTTTAATTATAAGAATTATGAAAAATTAGAATAAAGTTAAAAATAGGAAATAAAATAATGATTAGAATAAAATAATTTTCTGTGTGCAAATAACGATTGGAAGATAAACAATAGAACTGGATCCTTATGTCTATCTTCTGCAGAAACTTAAAGCATCGCAGTAGATACAGTTGCCACTGGACAGGCGAGCGACAGCGTTTTACTTGTTGCCTGTATTCAAGATAAAGTCACTTTACGATCACTATTCAGTATCGTCAAGGTTGTGAATTAAATTACCTTAGGAGGAGAAAGTTACACGCATTATAATTAAATTATTACACTTGATTGTGTTACTTAATCGATATCTATTAAACATAAAAAGCTTTTGCTCTAATCTTTTTATAAAATCTATAAATCTCTTTCACTATAGACTTTCTACAAAATTTAAGAAGATAAACAAAGTACGATAACGTTTAACTATGGATAGACAATTGTTTTAGAATGGATTTAAAAGTGGCCTTGTACCGAAAGGCAAAAGTACGAGGCTATCAATCATTTACATTAAAAATTAATCGGTTATATTAGTATAATGATATGATATCATTCTCAAGAGCAGAAAACTTACATATCACGAATTTTTACAATCTTAATGTGGAGTAAAGTACAATCTCTTGAGATATTAATTGTTATTATTTATATGTAAAAATAAATGTGTCTATGTATGTGAGTGAGTGTGTGTATGCGTATGTGTCGGATAATTTTTCATATTTTTATCAATATTTTAGATTGAAATCAGACCAAATAAATGAGCATAAATGAATTAATTAATGAGAATAAAATAGCATAAATTATTAGATAAAAAAAATTTTACATATTTTTGAATTAAATTTGCATAAGATAATTTTTATGAAATTATTAATTATTAATAACGATTTTTTATTGATATTTATTCGCTTAATTTAGATTTCGTTTTATATCAGCTGACATTCGCATCTTATATGATTAACCAATTTGAAATCTATTTTTACTCTCTATATCATTAGTACATATCATTAGTACATATCTATATCATTAGTACATATATTATTACGTTATCTGACTTTTGTATTTTTGTCTCGTTAATAAATCCGAAATTTCTTGTTATCTCTTCAAATCCCATAAATCTGAATAAATCTCTAAATTATCTATCACTCTCAGTCTATATACACACATTCATCTTTCTCTTTAATCATATGATCGAGCATTGATGTCTCCTCCCACTCGACTCGCGAAATACTTATCGATGCGTCGGCCACCAGAGAAGTGGACAAGCAGAAGAGGATATCACTGGTTCCCGCCAGAACCGGTCGAGTTGTATGAGTCGTACAATTCAAGCTCGCAGTCTCTCTTTTTCCCTCAACTATACATGCGTCATGAATACCGCACGTATGACGGCGCTGACATCGCAGTGTGCGATATCACAAATGTATGCGTGCTCGTGCGTGTGCGTCACGATTCGCGGGTGATCACAGGCGCACACACAAATCTGGATCGTCGTGAAACGCAGGTTCACGACGGTGTCGTCGGTATTTCTCAGTTCGAAGACGATCTTGCGCTTGCTCGGAGAAAGAGAGAAGACGGAAGAGAGGGAACGAAAAAAGTGAAAGTGCATAGATAACGAATACGCGATCTGTTTACGCACTGCAGACAATAATACACGTGTGCATATATGTGTATGTGTGTGTTTACATGCACATCGGTCTCATTATCACTCGAATGATACGTAGATGAGTTTTATTCAGCTCGTTGGGACGCACCCGATCCACTCGAGGTACGCTGCGATCTGACAGGTAACACATGACACGTGACGCGCATGGAAGTGTCACTGAATGTGACGTTCACCCGCGACGATGTGCTCCAAAAAGCGCGCGCGCTCCGATCGGTCGATCGTTTGAATAGCGCTGATTGCTTTTCCTCGTTAATCGAAAGAGCAAATGCTTCTCGTAATGCTTGTACAATAAGCTGAGTCTTTGAAAATGTTCCATCATGTGGAGCGAATTGATATACGTTTGACCTCTTAGATACCCCAGTACAGTCACTCAAGTTGTTCGTAAAGTTGACGCAGATGTATATATATTTATAAAAGTATGTTGATTCTTGTGATTATTGTAAGCATTTTTCTAACAATTTATCGAGACATCAATTGTTGCTACAAAAAGAACTGAAAAATTAAAGCTTAATTCAATATGAATTTGTTAAAAATATAAGCGCAATATATTTCTTATAGTGATCACTCAAAGTAACATATTGTGTGGGAATTGTTTGAAATCGTAAAATGTGTGCAAATATTGTTGAGCGTAGGAATTTTGTAACAAATATTAAATTGATAATTGTACACACCTGACGATGACGTTATCACTAGCTATCAGAAAAGTCGTAAAAAATCGTGTAACGCGATAGATCTATTTGTACTCTACCTATTTGTATTGAATCGCGTGATCTTTTCTTGCTAAAATAAAAAGAAATTATTTTAGCAAATTTAAGCTATTAGATTATAAACACAAATAAAATTAGGTAATAAAAAAATAAGATTTAAAAAAAATAAATTGAATTAAATCAAAAGACAAAATTTTTAAATGATAATAAATTTTTAAATGATATAAATGCTTCATTTCTTTTATATTTAATGATGATAGATGAGATACAAATATTTGCACGTAAATATTTTATATTTCATACACGATTTGCGATTTGAGTTTTACAAGCGATAATAAATCATATTGTCGGATAATAATTTAAATTATCAATCCGTATGATTTTCAAATTGAAATTTATCGCAGGATGCTGTCTAATATATCCGACAATTTATGTTAATCAAATGGATAGTATATCACAGAAACTCTTTGCTATTCAAAGTTGCTTCCATCGGTCAACGAATTACGAACAATAGCGAGTATGTATGTGTTATGTGACTTAAATATCTCATCTCGAAAATGTTGAAACAGCATCCGAATATATAATTCACATTTCGCTGTGGAATCATCAATTGCTAACTGTAAAACTAAACGTACGCTTCGATCGATCAGTTCGATACCTAACAGTGCGCGTATTCTTTTCGTTTAAATCCCACGAGTGTTCTATCGCGCCTCGCCGCCCACTATTACCTTCTCGATAAAATCGGCGGAAGCCCGCTCGAACACCGTCCGACATTTCTCTCTATGGTCCATTTATATAAAGTTCCTGGTGTCCCAGAATCACATTGAGTGTTTCTTCAGCTGCAAAAACTCTGCGATAACTCCGGAATTAATTTTTCATTTGAAAAAACTTGATAAGTGATAAATTAATCGTTCCCGTGTTTTTCTCTTTTATCCGCGTGTCTTTGAAAGAATCGAATGTAATTATGCATGGACAAATTGACGATTTTAAAATTTACATTTTTGCGTTGCCTGAAAAATGTCATACAACAGATTTGAATCACTATTTATCCAATATTTTGATAAAGTCTAGGGATTAATTTTAGTGTAAAGTATTAAAATAGAATATGTGTGCACGCATGTAGTTCAAAAAATTGATTTGCAGAGAGATTCTATATTATCTATAATTACGTTCCCCTTCTCTCTTCCTCTCTATTAGTCTAAGATATTAATGAAGGTATTCTTTCTCCCCTCCATCAATATTTCTCTTTCTCTGTCTACAGAGGTCGTCATGCAATCATGAACACCGAGAGCGGCAACAACGATAGCGGCGTCAGCGGCAGCGTCAGTGACGAACTGCGCGATAGTGGCAAACCCGTCCTGCCGAGGCATGGCAATGTCATCCACAAGTTCCACAACGGCAAGCAAATTGCGAACTGCGTGCGCAAAATGAGCGCGATGCCGGAAGAGGAGGACATTGCGTCCGACGACACGGAGTCGAACGTGACCAGGAACGGCCGTCATCAGAAACATTCCGAAGTCGAATCCACCGAGTGGTCCTCGGAGGAGAGAGGTCACCTGCTCAGTTCCGCACGTGGAATCATCGTCGCGCCTTCGGCGGGAACGGATGCCGTGAGAAGGACGATCGCTAGTCGCGATGACAGTCCCGAGAACGTGGTTCGGAACGGCAGTCATCGTCATCGTTGGCCGCGATCTCGGCCGTTGACGATCGACCAGGTCGAGTCCGGATCGAGTTCGGGTCGCGACAACGGAATCCCGCAGAGTCCTGGCGGACTGAGCTTCAGGAGCATCGATCAGCCGTACCTGGTGCGACATCATCATTGTCTTAACGCGCGTTCGCCGAGGATCTCCAACTCTGCCATGGACGAGAGCCAGCTGCGCTGTTCCTGCTGTCACCAGTCACCTACCTGGCCTTCCATCCTCTACTCGGACTCCAACGGGAGTCATCAAGCTCCCCGTTCGTTTCCCGACACGATATCGATCAAGTCTCTGGCGTCGATCGGCCTAGGCTCTTCTGACGGCCGGAAACTGACAATACGTAGAGTTCCCACTTCGCCGTCGGAGCTGCTTAACGTGGTACATCCGCCGCCGTAAGTGAGACATATTACCTACGATCATGTGCCTCAACGCTCTCAAAGAAGCGGAACGTGAATCACGCTTTACACGTGATCGCGCACATGCATGACCGCTTGAGCGTGAATCTGTTTTCGCACGCTTTAAAAGTGAATGAAAAAATCTTTACTGCCATCAGCTTATGTTTTTTGTCTTATAATGTTATTACATGTTAAAGTTCGATATATACAGATGTATCGGTTAAATTCTTGTGTTATCGTCTTTAAAAATTGATCTCGCGATCTGAATTTTCTCTTTCATTCTTTCAGTCTTTTTGAAAGAAAAAAATCACTTCTAAAGGATAAATTAACTTTTAAACAGATATAAAAAAATGTAGGCTTGTATTATTTTTAAATTATCTAATTATATATGAAGAACGCAAGTAATAATTTCAGTCTTTGTGTTTGCACAGTGTCAGTGAACACACGGGACAAAAATAATACTAGGTCAGAGATGAGATTTATTACGAGAAAAATAATGGCGTATGCATTTTAATGCTGTAACAGCTGTGCCACTTTTGAATTTTAAATGCAACACTTGTGCTATTGCGGAATGCCAGTAAATCATCGAGATATTGTCTTATCTTCAAAATTGATAAACAGTTGAAATAACCGATAATTATCGTGTTTTAAATCTTTCATCTCTCTTCGCTAACACTGCTTTAAAAAAAAATTATTCATTTATTTTTTTCATTTTCAAACTTAAAAACATCATCATAGTGACTAATATCACGTGTGAGATGAAATGTACTCGCAACTACGTTCGCCATATGTTTCTCACGTGTGAGTTAATATTTGACGTAAACATTTTAAATTAACTAAATCTGCATATGACATTTAAAAATAAAGTTGCATCCCGATGTAATCTTCAGTGCAAAAGATCGACAACAGCAACTTACGCGTGGGTTATAACGATCCTCTTTAGTGATTATCTGTGAGATAAGATTAATGGAATTTTTTGCTTAACGCACATTAATTATATCTTGAATGAAGAATTTATCATGTTAAAGCAGCATTTAATAAAAATAATAACATTATACAAAATTCATATCATTAAAGATTAACTGCGGTAACTAATGATGTTTAATGATAATGGTGTCTAGATCACAGACTTTAATGTGATTTTAGTAAAGAATTAGTAAAAATATAGAGAAAAATGGAACGCATTAATATTAATATATTAACAGATTAAGAAAATAAATTAAATTGAAATAAATGCACTTCTGTTTTAGGGTATATAAGGATCATAAATAAAGATTTATAAATCTCTTAAATTAATTTATGTAAAAATTAAATGGCATTTGTGTAAACATGATTAAATTTGATGGGCAGCGAGCAAAAATATCAAAATAAATCAACTTTAGAACTTTGATTCAATTTTCCATTTCAGATGATCTTAAATAAACAATTTTTAGGATCAATTGCATTATGAATTAACACTAACTTGTTAATAGAAGTTCCTCGCTATGCATATCTGCATTATAGGCCAGACCTATGATCTGGAAAGGAGTAAGGGTCAAGTTAGTTAATTAACGACGTCGATGAAATTGGCTCTTAGTTTACCACGGATAGCTCTAATCAACATCGTTGCGCGATAGGCTGACGCTTTAAAGTGAATTAGAACCGGAAATCGAAATCGATATAATTTTCGTTATAATTTTTGAGTTCACAAATACATCTCGATGCTGCGAACGCACACGTGAAAATCATCTCTATTCGTGTGACGCGAATTATCGAAAATTGAAGTCGCCTAAATTAGACCCGATTTCGATTACCCTGATTAGAATCTCATCCCCTGTCGAGGGCTGCGGCGAATTCTACGTGACGAGAGATGCGTTACATGTCTAAGCTCGATGCGAAGCCGGCAGGTCTCGTTATCCAGGGATTGCAATTCCGGCGTATCGTTTCAAAGACGTAAGTGGATAATAGATGTACAATGTAAGACCGTGTCGTTGTTGCAAGTATGTCGGTGTATTCGTGCGGTATGGTATATTGTTGCAACTCCGTCCCGCTTCTTCCATTGAAACGGAACGGCGTTTGAAACGATCCGTAATCGTCGTCCTACATTTACAGACCTCGTCACATCTCTTTTTGAACCGAGCACGTGAAAAAGACACTGGTCATATCGCGTTGTTAATCGAATAAAATAGAACCCGAAACATAAAACGTAAATCCGCCTTTATTTATTTCGATTCGAATAATCAATTCGCGCTCGAAGCAGAAAGGAATTATTGACAGAGATAATTGAAATTGTAACAAATACACGATATAATGGATAAGAGACAAAGACTATCGTCGATGCTTGTCTTCGTTATTGTTTGGAATAGCCATGTGCCGCGCATTTTACTCCGTTTTATTTTTTTCCTTTTAAAATATGACATCGAGTAACGGCGTGCATTATCGTATCCGCGGTATATTAGTTTTCCGTTGTGAAACGAACGGGAATGTACACAGGTGCGTCGCGTATATCTTTCAGCATTGTCGACCACCCTTTCCTGCCCCTCTGCCTGCTCGTGGCCTGACACCATTTCTGCGCTCATCGCACCGTAAAGCATGAATTTATGCGATAAACGCATAAAAATTCCTATCCGATCGCGATTCTTACGTAATGTAACGCACACGATCGATTTTATGCTCCGCGATATTTCGCGACACTTTATCGTGACATACGACTCAGACTTCTCCATTTGGGTTTATCTGCGGCAGGTTTTTCTCCCTCCTTTCCAAATCAGTCTGCAATTGACAATCCATCTAATATAGTATTACTGTCGTCGTTAATCGGCAATATCATGATAATCGAATTCGATGACTACTGCGTATATTCTATAAACAATGACGATGAATTATTTAATAGTTGCTAGTGGACTTGTTCGCGGACGCGTGTCATGCAAATTGCGCCGACGCGTCCACGCGTAACACGATTGACATGTGATCGATTCATGTGTGATTTTCCGTCAATTAAAATTCACGATGCATCAAATAGTTTCCATAGACGTGCAAAGTGGTTGTCAAATAATTGAAAAAAGACTGACAATATCCGTCAATTTATATTGGTTGTTTGAGAGAAATTTGGCGGCGTAATACTGTCTTTCAAAAACTTCGCCATCTTTTACAGGAATTACAATTATTCGCTCAACGAAATATTTCATAAAATGCTTGTTACGCTATTCTCTCTTTCGCTAAAATCTCATATCTCATAACATCATAAATTTGAATCTCGCAACATTTTTCCAGAGGTTCTCTCAATTTTTCTTTCACATTCCGTAGCGTAGATATCTTTCGTGCTTGCTTCACTACATTTGCAATATAAAGGCTTGTATGACGCATTTTTGCAGTTTCGAGGACGATCTTTCCACGTGTGCTAGTTATGACGGAGATGCGGATGATTTTGGTGATTATCGGCAACCCAGGAGGGCCCACTGGGAGAATAAAGTGCAATTTGTGTTGGCCTGCATAGGCTATTCCGTTGGTCTCGGCAATGTCTGGAGATTTCCTTATCTATGTTACAAAAGTGGCGGCGGTGAGTCTCGCGATAAGTAATATTAATCTATTAATCTACGTAAATTGAGCGTAATTGTGACGTGAATTTCGATTCTACAAAATTGAAAGACATGACATGAGAAACGGGAAAAATACAGAGGAAGCAAACAACGTGAATAAAGAGTTACACAGATGTTATCTATAAATATAGGATCGTGGCCGAAAATAAATTTGTAAATGTGCAAACAAGCAGACGATGCAATCGGAACATGTCGCCGCGATTAGCAAGACTATGATAAGAGAACGCAGTTATTTTGCGCGTCGCGAATTACGTCAGTGACAAAACAGCTGACGAAGCAACATGCCGAGGTATCGTCCTCTAATTTTTATGAGCAGAGTCACGTTAAAGATCGACTTAAATTATGAAACAGCTCTTTATCTTTTTTTCTTTTTCAAGAGTCTTTCAAATATCTCTTCTTATTCTTCTTACATACATTTCGTCGGGGACAAAACAACGTTTTAAAACGTTTCAACGCTTGATTTGTTATATTGTATAGTCAGTTGCGTGAAGAGTATCATTATTGAATGAAAAGCGCGTGCTCTAAGTGAGGGGAAGATTACACCGTGTCGCGGAAGATCGAATTAAGGCGGTTCCTGTGAAAAAATCGTGACGTCTTGCGTAAGTCGAGCTTCGGATTCAGGACAAGAGCAAGCGCTCTTGCAATCCCTGCAACTTGAGCGCGTATCGTGTTGCCGGCAATTTTCAAAGTCTGGAAGCATCCGGAGCCCGGATGCGTGGCGCAATTCACTCGCGGAACTTGATACATGACCTTGCCGGAACGCGGCTACTCCGTCGGACATAGTAAATGATTTCAATGACACCGGTGGAAATAATCGGTCGGGAATCACTTCGTTCTCTCTCTCTCTCTCTTTCTCTCTTTATACTACCGGTTTAAATTGAAGAGCCGGAAAACCGGCTCGCGATCCGATTTACATGATTGAAACGATTCATCGTTTCATTCGAGTTAACGTCGAGTGGAATCTACACTTGAGCAAAATAGAAATGAAACATCGATCGAAAATCAATCAAAGAAATCGATTAACGATTCCTGTCGAAAGCATAAACTGGGAATCTATTCAATTTTATCAATCAAATTTTCATTTTGTCACGCGCGTCAATTGTGTCAAAACATGCAGTCTCTGTCAGCGAATATTTAGAAACGATTTTAATTATATTCTCCCCGAATTTCCATAATAAAATTTCATCTTGATTTTAATTAATTCTTTCTATTATGTGTTGAATAAAGAGATGTAAAGTGCTTATTAATAAGAGCAAAACATTTTTTTGGCGATTAATAAACAAATAAATTAATTAAATCATAAAAAATATATATCTCCCTTAAAATTTTTATTTTAGACAAACAACTGAAAGCAGCTTTAATTGATCGTAACTTTGTGTAGCTCATAATCTCCCCATATATGACAAGTTAGAAACTACTTTGTGTAATTTCAACAATCGTGTGTACGCAAGTTAATTTATTGTACAAATAATACGCAGGATTGTGTTGTAAAAATACACGTGAGTGTATGAATATGTAATTTTGCGAAATCATACATTAAACAGAAGACCGGAAAATCAGAGGAAATAATAATGGTTCTACTTGCACGAGATGCATGCTCCGATATTCATTGTGCTGCAACGCCAAATTGCATTTTCGTGATAAAGACGACATTGTTGGAAATAACTGTAACAACATTAATGCGAATGTGTGTCATTATCCGCCTTGTAATTCGACGCGATTGGATTTTCGCCAGAAATTAAATCGCCTGCAATCTCCATTGATACATCACGTGAAATCGGCCGATTGTTATCTCCGCGCGCATCCACGTTTAATATATCTGGCGATAATTTATTTGAAGTATAATCGCGCAAATTTATATATATATATATATATATATATATATATATATATATATATATATAATTTGTATCGCCAGTTAAACTAAACGAAAACTGTCATCCGCACGTTGTTCGTTAGATTGAAGTGACGAGGAAACAGATCGGATAACGTCCCACGATTTATGCGTACGACGCGATATAACATTTTGCGGAGGGGGGGATTAATTTACATCTTCCCGAAATGTACGAAGCAAATTACGTATATATGATCGTGCGCACTTAAAAAAACTTGTGTGAACAATTTGTTTCTTATCTTGCTTGTAAATAACGTCGGGCCAAAATTTATAACATCATAATCGCGTTAAATAAATGAGAAATGCGATTAATGAGATGATAAATGAACCGGCGAGTTTGACAATTGAGAAAAACTTGTCAACAGCTGACTAAATGTCGTATCCAGTATAAGGTGACTAAATGCTCGAATTAAGTCATAATCCGCGATACTACGATCGTCGTTTATTGCGAATAAAGAGTTACATCCAGTGACCTTGTCACTGCCCACATTATGATTAACGTCGAGTACTATTACGTGCATACGTGTAACCGTGTTTAGCGAAACGTTTGGCAAACCCACGTGTGACTTGTGTAAACTGGATCATTTTTTTATACTTGAGGAAAAGAGCTATTAATGCTTTTTTAAACAGAAAATTATATGATTAATATCGAGCACCTCCGATGGGAAATTTTGCTTATATCGTCCGCATCATATTTCAGGTGTGTTCCTCGTGCCTTACTTTTTAATACTCGTAGTATGCGGAGTACCATTGCTATACATGGAACTCAGCATCGGACAGTTCACTCGTCGTGGTCCAATCGGCGCTTTGGGTCAAGTGTGTCCGTTATTGAAAGGTAAATGAATAAAGTCATCGAATGATAGATTGTCGATAAAATCCGATGGTTGTTGAAAGCTTTCACGCGTTCATGTTTATTCTAAAATACACTAACTTGAAACACGCGTTTAACTTGGAAATTATAATTGAAAAATGTTCAAATTATAAGATTAGTGTCGTCTTCTCTTGATTGTTTTGCGAATATAAGCGTAAAATTCTAATTTTAATTTTTCTTCAAAAAATTATATTTTCTTCTTCAAAAAATTTATATTTTAATCAGAGAGAGTAATATATGTTTCTCTTTGCTATTATCTATGATATATTTATACTTTTGCAGGAGCTGGTTTATCGTCGGTCGTGATATCATTTCTGATGTCAACCTACCATAATGTGATAATAGCCTACGCAATTTATTATTTCTTCGCGGCATTCCGAGCGGATGTCCCGTGGTCGCGTTGTGACAACTCGTGGAATTCGCCGCGTTGTTGGTTGCCCAGTTATGGATCTATCAATAATCGAACTCGACCAAACTTGACGAGAACACCATCCGAGGACTTCTTCGAGTACTTTCCTAAAAAAATTTAATTTATTAATTTATATAATTTCTATAATATTACATATTAACAAAATATACATGTATTTCTAAAAAGAAAGTGAGAAAGATTTAATTATGATGTTAAAAAATTCTTATAAAATACACGTAGTACGCAATTTCGAAATATCTGAAAAATAGTTATTTTTTCTATTTAGCAAGAAAGTCCTGCAAATCAGTAGCGGTATCGAAGAGCCAGGGATCTTGAGGTGGGAACTTGTGGCGTGTTTGATAACCGCATGGATTATGGTATATTTTTCTATTTGGAAATCTATCAAATCATCAGCGCGTGTAAGATATCTTACGGCAACATTACCTTTCCTTCTGATCATCGTCTTTCTCACGCGTTCTCTCACTTTGGAGGGCGCCTCGAAAGGTCTGCGATTCTTTTTTCATCCACGCTGGGAATTGCTCGGCGATGCCAAGGTACTGAAAAAATAATTAATTTTTCGTTAAAAAAGAAAAAAATATTATATTGTCACTATTAATGCTATTTAGGTCTGGATAAACGCTGCAGCACAAGTCTTCAATTCTGTAGGTATCGCCTTCGGATCGATGATATGTTTTGCGAGTTATAACCGATTTCACAACACGGTGTTGGTAGATACCATTGCTGTCTCGCTGATAAATGCCCTAAGCAGTCTAGTAGTCGGAATATTTTCTTTCGCCACAATCGGCAATATAGCGCTGGAGCAAAACATGTCCGTCGAAGATGTTCTGACTGACGGTACGTATACAAAATTAGAAATAAAAATTTGTTATGCTGCAAAAAAGTATATTTTTTAAAGTATATATTACACACATCAACGATTCTCTTACGAAGAGCTATATATTTTTTTTCTATTTTTTTCCCGCCACTTTGCATCGTCAGATTAATTGTCTGCCTGACATTTTATAGATAAATCATAATTTCGTTCAAGGACCTGGTCTAGTCTTCGTCATCTATCCGCAAGCGCTAGGCAAGATGCCAGCTTCGCAATTCTGGGCTGTACTATTTTTCTTCATGCTGGTCTGCCTTTCATTGAATAGTCAAGTAAGTATGTATGTACAGGATGTGTATCAGAAAGCATACTTTTCCTTTCAACACACATACATTTTCCTTTCATATATTATAAAATTATTCAACAAATAAATCAATCTCTTCTGTTAAATAAATTCAAAATTATTTAAATTATTGTCAAACTGTATTCTCACATAAATCCGTGGACAAATAGTATTAATCATGCGTTGAACAAAAATTTGAAATTGAATCTCGGAGTTTTGCTCAATCGCGCTTAATGGAAATGCAAATTATATATTTTTACGAACTTTCTATTTTAGAGATCGTAATAGTTTATGTTTTGCAATGTTTTAACAAGTGTTACGTAAACTTTGGGATTTCAGTTTGCCGTTGTTGAAGTGGTCGTTACGTCGATCCAAGACGGTTTCCCAAAATGGGTGAAGCGTCATCTTCTCTGTCACGAAGTGCTGGTTCTTGTCATATGCGTCGTCTCCTTCTTATTCGGATTGCCGAATATCACACAGGTAGAATAAAGCACATCGATTCGTTTTTTACAACGCTAAACTAGATATTTATCTCTTACTAAGTCAATTTCTCGACTGTTTCAGGGTGGTATTTATTTCTTCCAACTGATAGATCATTACGCAGCATCGATGTCTATCATGTTTTTGGCGTTCTTCGAAGTAACCGCTATATCGTGGCTTTATGGCGTACGACGACTATGTAATAATGTTAAAGAAATGACCGGACACTTGCCCTCGATGTATTTTCGATTCTGTTGGTTCCTCGCTGCACCTCTACTCATAATGGTATGGGAGTATCGATCTTTCGAGATATTATAATAAGATTCTCGTTTTCAAACGGAATTAATTATGCAGCTACGTATTCGAATAAAAGGCAACATTTGAGATAAATGATTGTATCGAGTGGAATGCGATGAAACGCGGAACTGGGATTAAAGACGAGCAATTACTCGCGTGCAATCGATATCTTCAGAGAAACATAAAGTACTTTGTTTTTCCTCGGAAATAACGATTGCATGGATAATTGCCCACTTGTAATTCCTGTTCCGTGTGTTTCGTTGCACTCGGCACTTTTGATGCAGTTGGCAATCTTTAAAATATGGCCGGTATTTTCATAATTATCTCATCTTCTCAGGCTGTATGGGTGTTCAGCTTAATTGATTACGAGCCACCAACTTACCACAACGGCGATTACACGTATCCATGGTGGGCAGAGGCGATCGGATGGGGCATCGCGTCTCTCTCCTTAATTTGCATTCCCGCTTTTGCCGTTTATATATTCGTTCGAGCGGATGGTGTCACGTTCGCCGAGGTACGTCGAATTTTGTTGCACTTTGTTAGGTAACCACAAGATCAGTTTACCTATGATTAAATTCTTCTTAAAATTTGATCATTTATAAGAAAATTGATCGATTCTTCGTAGAATTTAATCATTTTATTTTGAATTTTAATACTACGAAATACACATCTATAATATGTATATCAGTAAATAACAGAATAACGTCTAAACGATAAAAAATACTAGGATATATTGTATGAAAATTAAACGGATTGCACTTATATTCTATAAAAAAATTGATAATATTATTTGCAGAGACTCAAGAATTCCATCAAGCCGCATTTCGAAGCGTGCAAAGTTTGCGGTCAGGAATACTGCATGGAGCCTATGCACAATTTGGAGGAAGACATTCTCAAGGAACCTCAAACAGACGTGAATACTTCCATACAATTAAATTCGCATTATCTACTGAAGCCTCAGATATGATAACGTAATAGATAAGAGCAATTAAATAATTATAATTAACTCATACCCATAAATTGAAATTGTATAATAATTATCTGGAGGAAAAATTATTTAAAATTGCAAAAGTCGTTTACTTACTTTATTTTCATCACAGATCATTACACCAATTGTCGTGCGATAGTTCACATTCCACTATTTATAGCTCGTTACAAAGGATAGCAATTACTTGTAAAAGAGTCATTAAAATAGGATCATATTTGTTATTAATGTGTTATTCTACTACTGTATAAACTATTACTTTTTGCGCCATCGTCATGTGATAGATATTACAGACCATCACTGATTCGAAATAAAATTGTATGTAAAATTGTAATTCTGTATATATCGCAATCGCCATGTGTAACATGTATAACATTGTTAATCATATAATTTTAATAAATTATATATTGTCAAAAATGTGTAATTTGTTTTTCAATTTAACTTCTTTAGTAGCATTTAATAAAATTTATTGGTGTCACGTTCAGACGTCGCATTTATTCTTTTTCTTTAATCATTCCCTAATCATTGCATATATTTGTCTATTAAGCAACCATACAATAAAGAGAGCGGATTTCGACATAACGGTGTACTTATGTAAGTTTAGAATCTCCGTTACGCAGCGAGTTTCGATCGTATTGAATCCTCATATGGTAAATTAGATATAACTAATTGCATTATGCGTCCCTGGGAGACGAGTGCTACGATGGCATTTTCTCATTCGGGCACTGGACAAGCTCATGCTCACGTCAAAGTTTACCTTAATTGCGTTCCGCTTAAACTTATCGAGACATGACAAAGAAGTTCGAATTTAATTGGCGCATCGAAGTGCCGGAGCTCTTGACGAAGGGCGCGGTATTCGATCGATGGTTTGAAGACAAAGAGACGACCGAATACGAACCGAATTGCCTATTCAAAGTCGATGAATACGGGTTCTTTATCTATTGGAAAAGCGACGGGAAGGTAGTCCAGTTTTTAGCTCTCTAAATAGATAAATATCTTACTATTATTTCTCGATAAACAAAGACATGGATAAATTATTCACAATTTTTCGATAGGACGGGGAAGTCATAGAATTGGCTCAAGTAAGCGATATTCGTTACGGAGGCACACCGAAGGTAAATTTTCAAAATGAAAATAATTTGCGCGAGGCCAAAAAATTATAATAAATAATAATTTGTATTATATCGAATAACGATGGACAATCGGTCTGTCTAGGAGCCAAAATTATGCAACAAGCTAAGTAAACATGGAACGTTGGAACAGTTGGACGAAAAAAGTTTAACTATATGTTCTGGAGTGGATTATACAAACATCAATTATCAGCATATTGTATGTGCGAATGCACAAATAGCTAAGGTAATAACACAAAAGAAAAGTTAAAAAGATATTAATAAATACCTTCGTGAATATAAGCTTTAAAAAATCTATAGTATTTAGAATATTTAATTCTTTATTTAAGAAACAGACAATTATTGATTTTTCAATTCAAAATCGCGATTAAATCATGTTTGCATTTAATACATTATTTGATTACACGTTTCTAATTCTTTATTTTATGTAGTTACGCCTATTCTAAACTTATACTGCTTTATCCTTTATATAATCGATGCATTTTATTTTCTATATTCTAATGCTGACTTGTGATTAATTCAGGATTGGCAGACTGCTTTGCGTTTAATTACACACAACACAAAAGCGTGTAATGTTTGTCCGACGACACAGCTTATGAAACAGTATGTATTTATTAATTCGAATTCACACGATGTAGTTTCGCAAAATTATAATAAATATAAAATATAAAAATACAATAAAATATTTATTTAAATGTTGGTTGGCTATGTTTTTTCTTTAATCATTACATAAAATGTGATTTTAATCGTTAATCGAATCTGCCAGTTGGATGCGGCTAAGTTTCCAAGTCGATCCAAAGGGAAAGGTCCCTGTGAAAGTGATATCAAAGACTTTTGCATCTGGAAAGACTGAGAAACTTGTTTATCAAGGATTATCGGAACTCGGTTTGCCCAATGGAAAGGTGAGTCATTAAATGCGAGAGTTTGTAGAAAGAAAAGTTCTTAATTAATGTCTAAATCGCAATCAACAATTTAATTTAAAAAATTTCAAAGTCATCTTCAATTAATTACACGACGTATTGCTTTATTAATTCAATAATAAAAATGTTTTACTCTTAAATGATATTTCGTAAAAATTAGTTTGTATAAATTTTATATAAAATCCCGCATATATATAAAATTCACTCATTGTTTAACTGTTCTTATGGCATTATTTGGTATTTAAAAATGTTAGTGTTTACTAGAAAGAATTATTAAAGAGTATGTGTACGAGAAATCAAATTGTTCAAATAATTAAATAAATACAATAAAATAAAAATATGATATATTTCGCAAACCGCTTCTTTTAGAACGACAAAATAGAGCCTGAGGCTTTTACGTTTGACAAGTTCTACAGTTTATACTTTAAGATTTGTCCTAGAAATGATATCGAAGAACTTTTTCAATCAATGTAAGTACTTACAATCAGGCGGTAACTGTCAATATCAAACGTTACGAAGCAAACGTTATCATTTTCGATTTACAGTACAAAAGGAAAAGCCGATGCTATAAATTTATCGCAGCTCGTGGAATTTATGAACACGAAACAGAGAGATCCACGACTCAACGAAATCTTGTATCCTTTGTACACTGAAAAGAGATGCACGGAAATTATCAATGACTACGAGATGGATGAAAAGATGAGAGCGGAAAGTGAGCTTTTCTCTGACAAAAGAGAATTAATTTTATTTTATCACTATAAAATTTGAAAATAAAAAATCTAATATTTCTCATTTAACTTTGCATAGAAAAATTGACAAAAGATGGCTTTATACGATATTTAATGTCGGATGAGAATGCACCGGTATTTCTAGACAAATTAGAAGAATGGATGGAGATGGACCAGCCCCTCTCACATTATTACATTAATTCAAGCCACAACACTTATCTCAGCGGCCGCCAATTCGGTGGCAAGAGCACCGTTGAGATGTATCGACAAGTTCTGCTTGCTGGTTGCAGGTAATGTTCGTTGAACAACAATGACAAAATAACTATAATATTGACAAAAAAAATAATTTTGAATAATAAAAAAAGATTTACCTCGATTTTAGATGCGTCGAATTGGACTGTTGGGATGGTAAGGGGGAAGACGAAGAACCCATCATAACCCATGGCAAAGCTATGTGCACTGACATTCTTTTCAAGGATGTGATCTACGCTATAAGGGACACCGCATTTGTCACTTCTGAATATCCTGTAATTTTAAGCTTTGAGAATCATTGCTGCATGAAGCAGCAATATAAGCTGGCAAAATATTGCGATGAGATATTCGGCGATTTGTTGCTAAAGGAACCCCTAAAGGATTATCCTGTAAGTACCGCGTGAAAAAGACGTCACATTTGATGATTTGATTTATTTTTATGAATTAATTAATGAATTAATATTCAATACCTCATAAATATATTTTTCCAGCTCGAGCCGGGATGTCCTCTTCCTCCACCATGTGAATTGAAACGCAAGATATTAATAAAGAACAAACGGTTGAAACCAGAAGTGGAAAAAGTCGAACTTGAACTTTTCCGTGCCGGACAATTCGAAGATAAGGATGATGATGTAGAAGATGCCAGCGCTCCTGCAGCTGCTCCACCTCCCGAGCCGCCAAAGGTTTATTAACTATAATAAATTGATAAAGAATTAGGCTCTTTATGTATTTAACAACACAATACACAAGAAACGAGCGATTAAGAGTCACCGCGGATGGTAGTGTGTAAATTTTTCTTAAAGATTAATTATTCGCGAAAATTGTTAAACGTGCACAAGGCATATGCATATATTTTACTTAGTGCAAGAAGAGCCCTGAAGAATCCTGAAGAGATGTAGACGAGAAAAATATCGAGGCAAAGTCGCTTCCCGATTTCAGGGGGGTAAAGAGGGGTTTATAGAATTCTCAAAAATAAGAATCTATACCTTGGTAAATGCACTAAGTAAAATATATGCATATGCCTTGTGCACGTTTAACAATTTTCGCGAATAATTAATCTTTAAGAAAAATTTACGCACTACCATCTGCGGTGGCTCTTAATCGCTCGTTTCTTGTGTATTGTGTTGTTTATTAACTATGTTAATAAACTTTTAGAGAAACGAAAACTAAGTCGTTCTTCCTTTCTCTGAAATATTAAAAAAATTTTTGAAATTATCTTCGATATATTTACTGTCGTGTAGGAAAGCGAAGCTCCTGCCGGAGGGGAGGGAACCGAGGAGGTACAAGTGACTCAATACACGAGCAGCACTATGCGAGTTCATCCTTTTCTTTCCTCGATGATAAACTACGCGCAACCGATAAAGTTTCAAAGTTTTGAAATAGCGGAAAGTATGTGGTATATTGATATCATAGAAATTTTTATGTCTATCTTTTTAGTAATCTCACATAATCTCATAATTACACATAATCTCATAATTACACATAATCTCTATAATTTTTTAAAATATTATGCTTCCCTATAATTAACTATATTAGTTAATTATAAACTAACAAATCTATATTTATTTCAAGAATCCATCAGTTGTGTCATTTTTTTTGAAGTACTATTTGTCTCTAACTCTTGTCTTAGAAAGTACTCTTTTAAAATTTTATGAAACTGCAAAAAAAATCTTTAATAAGTATGTAAATTTAAAAGTGCCTATGAATTTTATGTAAGAATTTTCTTTCCAATTTTTATGCATAAAAGTATTTTAAGTTAATCGAAATGGCAAAGCGTATATCCTGACTTAAGAAGGATTAAATGAATGAGCGTACACACGAGCATGTGCACACGAGTCGCATACATGACACGTACTAATGTCTCAACCCCGACATTCTAGACAAGAATATACATCATAATATGTCTTCGTTCTCCGAGACTGTCGCTCTTAACTATCTGAAAACTCACTCCGTGGAGTTCGTTAATTACAACAAGCGGCAAATGAGTCGAATATATCCAAAGGGCACGAGGGCTGATTCCTCGAATTACATGCCTCAGGTAACTGCAATAATAACACAAACGCGTTCAAATTCCCCGCGGAGTTATTACTCATATATTCCCGTTATCTAACAATAGACTGTGTCAAAAATCGCACTTTTTCGCTACGAACTATTCTTTTTTCGATCTTTGATATCTATCTGTTGATATCTATCTCTAAAACAAGAGAACATAAATGAATTTTTTACATACTGTATAATTACCTTTTCATGTAATATGCTTGCATTTTATCTAGGTCTTCTGGAATGCTGGCTGTCAGATGGTGGCTTTGAATTTCCAAACCCCGGATCTACCGATGCAACTCAATCAAGGGAAATTCGAGTACAACGGGACTACGGGCTACCTGCTGAAGCCCGACTTCATGCGAAGACCTGATCGAAGCTTCGATCCTTTTTCCGAGGACGTCGACGGTATTATCACCGCGCAATGCACAGTTCAGATCATAGCCGGGCAATTCTTGTCGGACAAGAAGGTGGGCACGTACGTGGAAGTTGATATGTACGGTCTACCAGCGGACACAATTAAGAAAGAATTCAGGACACGAATGGTACCAGCGAACGGTTTGAATCCGGTCTACAATGAGGAGCCATTCTTATTTCGAAAGATCGTGCTTCCCGACTTGGCGGTGCTTAGGATTGGTACTGAAAATTTAATTCTTTCCTTTACTTTTTACATATAGAAAAAAATTATCCATGTTTGTATCACAATATGAATTTGAAGCAAATTTTTCCTAAATATAAAAATATCAATTTTTAAAAGAGATAAAAAGATAAATATGTCACCTATAAACAGGATATAATTTCTAATTATATTTTATTTTACGCAGGCGTATATGAAGAGAGTGGCAAATTACTTGGGCAACGAATCTTACCTCTGGACGGTCTTCAGGCCGGTTACAGACACATCTCCTTAAAGACTGAAGCAAACTTCCCGATGGCGTTGCCGATGCTCTTCTGCAACATAGAATTGAAGATTTATGTTCCCGATGGATTCGAAGGTAACGTATGAAGCATAGCTCGAAAATAGTAATACTTCTCGCGGCGTTTTCCCTCAAGTTCGCTTCCAATTTCAGATTTTATGGCCGCCTTATCGGATCCGGGTGGTTTTAGCAAGGCTGCCGAGCAGCAAAATGAAACGATGAAAGGACTCGGAATAGAACAGACTGATGCCAAGGCTGAGGCTAAAAAGAAGAAAGAGGAAGAGGCAAAAAGGGGTATAACAAAGTCATATATAAAATACGATTGCATCTACTCTTTTCTTTTTACATGACGGCTTGAAAAAAGTGATATCAAATTGAATGATAAAAGAACGATAAGAAAATTATATCAAACGTGTGTGCAATCTTTATTATACAATTCCAGAGGAACTAAAATTGGAACCCATCACCCTAGAATTCTTGAAGAAAGAGAAAGGTTTCAAAATCGGCAAAAAGCATCAGAAAGAATTGGATGCCATGAAAAAGAAGCATATGAAAGAAAGGCAAACCATGCAGAAGAATCATTGCAGTGCCATCGAGAAACTAACTAAAGGAAAAGAGTGCGTTTTTTACTTAATTAATAATTCTGTGTTGAGAGAGAAAGAGAATTGTGCAAGAAAATTTATATTTATAACACTTTTAGCAAAAATTCTTTGGCGCAAGACGCTAATGTAAAGAAAGTTATAAGCGAACAAACGGCTCAATGGTCCGCTATGATGGAGAAACAGAGGAAAGAGGAATGGGAATTGTTGAAAAATCAAACACAGGGCTCTCGCGACGAATTAAAGAGACTGATCGAAATTGTGCAAGCCACGCAAGTTAAACAGATGCAGGCAAAGCACGACAAGTTGGTTTACATCTTAATTGATTATATAATACTTGCTGATTGACACACAATGATATAAATTCTAAATTGCCACCAAATTATACGTTGATTTTGCAGAGATGCTAAGGAAATGAATACCAATCAAGCGAAAGCATCCGTGGAAACGGCGAAGGAGGTAATGAACGACAAGACTTTGAAAACAAAAGGTGAAAAGGATAGACGACTTCGTGAAAAGAAACAGCAGAACACGAAGAAGTTCTTGGACGAGAGAAAGACTATGGAGATCAAGCAGGGTCGTGAGAAGGAGAAGCTGAAAGTTACGCACGGAAAGCAAGTGGAAAATTTAGACAAGGATATCGATGGGGTAAGCTTCTGCGTAGAGATAAAAATTCGCTGTAATAAATATGCTATTTTTTATAATAAAAGAATACATCGAGTTTTTTGTAATTGGATTACGAAGATAAATATTAACATTTAATTTTTTTCTTAATTTTAGAATAGCATTTTCGATTATAATTTCATGTTTTGAAATTTGATTTTGTTTTTTTAAATTACGAATGAAAAAATCACAATTATTATTAAATTTTGTTGTTTAACATTTATGAATAAAGAAGATAAATAATTAGTTAGTACATTGTACATAATTAGTACATAGTAAATAATTGAATAAATAATAAAGAAATAAAAAAATTGTACAATTTTTATTTATAAAATGTACTTTGAAATAATGCATATCCATTGATCATGTTGCAGAATATTGAGATGTACAAGAATGAAGCGATTGAATATGATTTATCGCCTAAGACAGAACTTTATATATAAAACTATATTTTCTAATCAGCATACTTATCATATTTTTATATTCTATTTTATAATCTTTTGATAATTATGATATATATCATAATTGCTATATGTAAATTATTTTTAACAATTTATGACTTGTCATGAAGTTTATATTAAATATTTATAATATCTATGTATTGATCAATATGTCTCTCAATAAATAAGAAAAAATGATATTCAATATTTATATTTTATTAAAATACCCTACTATGAATATTCTGCTCAATTATATGTATATAATACATTTTTTCATTAATTTTTGAGAAGGCACAAAGGTAAGAACGTCTTTTCACAACAATATATTGTATAATATATTTTTTAAATATTTATTAATACAGTTCAACAATATCTTAAGGCATTTTTAAATTTCATCTTCCAAGATTGTGCGTAGCTCTATTATTGTTAATAATAATCACAATCGGAATGTATAATTCTATCTTTTGGCACGTAATTTTGTACATGGTTAATTTTTGTACGTTATTGGGAAACAAAAAATATATTATTAAATAAAAGTCATAATTATATAAATATCATGTATCTAAAAAATTTTCAAAAAATCCTTTTAAATTTTATCTAAGAATATACAGTATCCTTACTTTCTTGCAATTGAATATAATTTTGAACAAACGGCATACGATGCACGCGCAAAGAGGCGATAGATCCGACACACGCTCCAATCCAATAAACAATCATATGTTCCATAGACGTGGTTCCCAGACAACCGTATTTTAGAGAAGTCGCCAAAGCGGGATTGAAGTAACCACCGGTATAATTAAAAGCTGAAATATATAATATATGTGAAAAATATTGTAAAGATAAACTGACATTTTTATGTCGTCAAATGTATTGATTCGCCAACCTGCAACGACTAAAGCCGTCCCTACAAAAGCATCAATGACCGTACTAAATCTCGGATTCAAATCAGCCAACACACGAGATACCACTCTACATATACATGTTGCAATGCATTCCACAAGTGTTCCAATTATAGCAGATACCTAAATGTCACTTTACATTTTCATCGATATTTAATAATAAAATTATTCTAAATTAAGCACACATTACGTATTACACAACAATATATTATATATATATATATATATATATATATATATATATATATACCGGGCGTAAATTATAACTTAATTATAATTTAAATAAATCAATAATACATATAAATTTATAATATATTTAAAAGTATAATTTGTGTATGATATATAAATGTAACATAAAAGTTAATAGGTTTACTTAATGAGATAACACATTATATGCAAATTAAATACTGTTGTGGAATTAAACGCTATTTCTCTTGCCTGTAAATCAGTAGTGCAATCTCCGTAGGCCCTGTTCTTGTGCGTAGAAACAAGTTGAAATGCCCACAACATTTGAATATATTTGAATATAATGAGACCGCCGGCCAATTCTGCACATATTGATAGAAAAGCAACGCCTAAAGGTTTTTTACCCTCAACTACATCCTCCATATGTGTGTAAGGGCATGCTGAAGCTTCATCCCAGTTCAGTGACCACCAAATCGTTAACAAGAACAGATAAAGCGCGTACATCCATACTCCCCAATTGTCCGCAACTGTTTAGAGACAAATTTAACATTTTCAAGAAAAAATGAAATACTCAAATAAGATAAATTGTTAATGCCATATAAAATAACATAGAAAATATTAATGTGAAAAAATTTAATCAAACATTTAAAAACAGATATAAAAAAACACATACAAATGAATAAGTACACTAAAAATAATATATATAATATATATATAAATATATAACATAAATATACAAAATAATAATTGCAAACTAAGTAATATTCAAATTTCATTTTTAAAAGCGCAAGTTTATCGACTATCAAAAATTAATCCTACAGTGTCGCACGGCTTTATATTGATATAAAGGAAGTAATTATTGTAGAGTCGCGCGAACTTACTTATAATGAGTTCGAAACATGCACCACAAAGTTCCGCCGTAGCTATAAATTCTAAGACCAGAATTCTCGTGAGGGGATAAGAATTAAGATAGAATAATGCATAGAGCCTTAGCCAATACGCTATCCAAATTGTAACTCCAATGTATGCTGTAGATACTACCAAATCTATTGATCCAGCCATTATCCTATTAAGATACGTAACATTTAAAGTACAGGATCATGAACATTTATGAGCGCAATACAATACATTTGATCTAACTCTATATGCAATAAAGATCTATAATTTGCATTCAATATAGCGTTATGTAATTAAAAATCATAAAATATGATATACTTGTGCTTCTATCCTCATATTATAAATTATTAAAACAAATTAACGAATACACTGTTAATAATAATTATCAATAAATATTTCGTAATTATGCGTATTAAATAATAAAAGGGCGACAAGTACACAAGCACATTATGTAATTAATCAATTCTACAGATTATTCTCCTTTAATTTAATTAAGATAATAAATTTAATGAAAATATAAAAACTTACGAAATAAGTTGACCGAATATCACCGCTGGCTATTTTTTTATTTCAGTTTCTATTATTTTGATTTTCATAAATACTTCACGCAAGAAATATTCACATTGAGAGTAGGTTTCGCGTAGCGGTTATTTAAAACTACAAGTATCGAATATATCTATACGAGTATGTCGCGCAGCCATGACCTTCGCTGAAATTGTCTCAAAGCGTAGTGGTCATATAGTGAATTCGGTCATCCGCACTACATCGCATTAATGCGTATTAAAGGTTGTTATACATGTGAATTTATCTAAATAAAAAATATTATATTTAAATAATTAAAATTCAATTATATTATCATTCTTTTAGAGCGTATATATTATTTCATCATCAAAGTGTTTATGTATCATTGCATTTAGATTGCATTAGATACTTTATACATAGCAGCCTTTAATATGAACTAGTTTATAATGCGAATGACTGAATTCACTGACAGACATATATAAGAGTCTCCGCCACAAGAGGCAATGTAGAAACATATCAAGAACAAAAATAATACTTTAGGCATTTTTCTCTTTATCTTGAGTAAAAGTGGAGATAAAACAAATGAGGGAAACATATGTGAACATTAATATTTTAATATATTTAATATATTCAGATATCAATGTTCTTTTTCACATGTATATTCCCCTTATCTGATTTCATCTTTACTACTCTTATTCAAGATAAGAAGAGAAATACCTAAAATGTTACTTCATGTTTCCATGCTACCTTTTACGGCAAAGACTGGTCTATATGTCTATGATAATAGTATCGTCTAACAATAAATTGCTGTTATTCGATCAGAGAAATTCAAAATAAATATTTAAAAAAAAAGTATATCGGAAAAATGAGATTATATACAGCACAAAATATATTCCAATCACATATACTTAATTTAAAGATGTATCTTCATATTTTCCCGAATATATAATCGATGGAAATTCTCGTAGAAAATTGGGTAGCGCAATGTATCAATGTAGATATTGTGGAATGAGACTCCATCAAAATTTGATACCTTTTTCTTTATTATTAATTAAAAAAAACTTATGTCTAATAATCCGATATTAAATAAACCATTACAGAGCATACGTAAAAAAGATCAATTACATAAAGAGACATTAGATGTATAATCTAAAATCAATCTGCAATTTTATTCGTTATAAAGAAATTAACTACATATTTTATTATATAGGTTGAAATAAATGATTTCGTATATTTCATGAATGTGGATTAACATTAATCTTATGACTGTAGAAAAAAAAACATTTATTTACAGGAATTAAAAGACTCTCCTTTGAGTTTTTTAGTAACAGGAGAATCATCTTGATTCTGCGTTCTTGATACTAGCCTAGGAATTCGTTTATTTTTTAAATAGGACATCGTTTCACTCGATGATCTAAAAATCAATAAAATATTTAATATATTAAAATATAATTGTTAGATATTTTTAATTATATGAGAAAATATTGAAAAAATTGCATAGTTTTTTATATAGTTTTATCACATTTTGATTGATATGGAAATACGTTTCGGAAGAAAGTGTATCTGGAGAATTTATCCATGGAGAATTGCGGTAAATGGGAACGAAGTCGAATCAGGAAGACGGTTCATGGTTGTATATGGTCATATTTTGATAGTGCGGAAAATAATTTGTTATCAATTACAAAACTATAAGAAGGTATATTGTGTGTTATACCTTGTAATTTTTTGTTCAGTCAAGTTCATTTCCGTTGCATTACTCTCGGTCGAATTAGAACTTAGAGAAAAAGGAATGATTTTATAAGTTCTACTACTAACAAGTTCATTAGATGATTCAGTATTTTCTGCCATAAATGAGACAATACGTGTTTCTGTATCTAGATTTGTAGGCTTTTTCTTATTCTCTACTTCTGACTTTGCTGCTTTTGTGTCTGTCTGAGTTTCGCTCTTCGGCTTCAATTTACCGTCTTGCGTGGGGAAATTTACAGTAGGCAAACTAATAGTTTTATCCCCTTTGGTATTGTTCATCAATTTAATTAATAGATTTGATAATTCCTCTCTTTTTCTTGTCACAATAATTTCCTCAAACCATGATTTCAAAGTTTTAATTGGCAAAGTATAATCTTTAATTGGATCCTAAGAAGGGAGACAAGAGTTCGTAATTATATTAATACTTTAAACATAATCAAAAGTATATAATAGCAAATAATTGAAAAAAATACTTTTGTTTTCAATGTATATATGGAAATTGTATATTCTTACCTTAAAAAAACTTTCCACATACTGTAATACATATAATCCACAATCTGTAAAATTTGATTGCTGAGGTACTTTCGGACACGCTCCCTTAATGGTATCTTTTGAGAATGTCTTTTCTACACCAAGTTTAGCGATATATTCGCAAGTTAAATAATCTCTTAATGTAGCGACTACTCGTGCTCTACTGGCTCCAGCAAGTGAATCAAATATCAATATGCAAGGACTGTAAATAAAATATTTAATTCATAATGAATTGTATAAATTATACCTGTCTGTGTGTGTACATATATATATAATATATATGTAAACATGTGTACCTACATTTTGATAGTTTCTTTTTGTTGTTCAATTTTAACTTGAGTTTCGATTTTATTTTCTTCTGGTTGTTCCATCTCGTCCTGTATAAGCAAAATATGTTATACTATGAGAAACTATTTTAGAACAGGAATAATTATCATTAATAAAATTTATCTTGCCTCTTCGTCGCTGTCCATTTCCATTTCCTCATCATCACCTTCAGCTTCATCCCTTTCAGATCCATCATCCGGCTGATCTATCGTTATGGTCGTAGGTACAGGAGTGATAGTTGTAGAACCAATTGTAACAGCTTTTGCTTTCAATTCTTTCAACCTTTTACTTTTTTTCACAATCTTATGAACATCATCTTCGTTTGTTTTCATAGCACATGTGGAAACTTTTCCAACCAGTCCAGGAAAACAAATGATAGCCAAAAACCAGTGTGCACTACAAACAATATTATATTGTCATATAAAAAAATATAGCATATATTACTCATGTTAAAAATCTAAGAATACTTACTGTTCGTTGATAGGAATTATAATAAAATCTTTCTCAAATATGTTGACATTTTTTGTCCACTTCTGTACTCTTGCGTGTCGTTTGGCGGCAGGCGTTATTGGCACAATGCTTTCGGCAGCTTGAGCATGTGGACTGGTCAAACGTTTATAAAAGTATGAACTGAACACATGAGTCCTATGTTGATCAGATTCTGATAATATCTCTAAAGTTAGATACTTTAAATAAAAATCTATAATCACGTCGTTCAAAAACTGATCTTCTGCAAGGCATAAATAATCTTCAGTATTGATGGCTATTCCTCCTTTTGCAGGAGGTGGTGGATATACAGTTATTCTGTAAACAGAAACTTCTGTATTTAAAAATTTAACTGTACAGAAAATAAAAAATACTAGAGATGAAACAGATAAAATTATAAATTATACTTTATCATGCGAGTGTATATATATTTGCATACACATAAAAAATATTAAATAATTAAAAGACACAAAGTTAATTATTAAATAAAAGTCTTACGTTTGTATGCTGTCACTGACACTGACAGTATTTGGTACTGAGCTTTGACTCTGTTTTCGTGTAGTAGTATTAATCGACTGTTGTTGATTCTGTAGATATTAAATATATTATAGAGATATTATATATATATATATATATATATATATATATATATATATATAACGAATTTAGTTTAGGAATACATACATCTCTGGGCGAAGCTCGTAAAAGTATATCATTTGCTTCTTTAGGATTCAAATCGTCCATTTTATTTCCACGTGAAAATAAAGTCGTTAATTTGGACTTCGAATCGTCTGGTAATTTGTCTGACAATAATGTAATACGTCTATGTGTATGATCTAAAAAATAATAAAATAAAAAAATATATTAATTTATTTATATACTAATTTACTACTTAAAAAAATATATTAATTTACTACATATATTAATTTACTTATTAAAAATCTTATACTTTTTGTATATACATATATGTTGTGTCGAAAATTATAAAGATTTAAAAAATATATATGTATATTGCTAAGAATAATTATTTGAATAAATAAATAATATTCATTGCATAAATACTTTTTCCAGCAGGATCATAATATGGTCCTTTTGGATCTTGCATTCCTAATAACTCGCGTATCCTGGCGGCTGCACTTGGAGATGTATAAAAGAATAATACCGGCATTGTCTTTCCAGAATGAATCAGTAGTTTGACTATATCTTTATATTTCACATCCAGAGTAACAAAACTTGTAGCTGTAAAATATCGGAATATTTTAAAATGCTTATAAATATTTTTAAAATGTCTTTTTGTAAAATAAACTTACCATCTTCTAATAAAGGTACACTAAATCTTACACCACTATGGGAAATCACTACGTTTTCCCGAGGAATATATTTATAAGAACCTATTCTGACCGTTCGACATTCTATAGCAACCTGTGGTAATTGTTCATTATCTGAAAAGCTCTGATTATCACATATCCCTGAAATTTTATATTACTTTGTCATTATATCCACTTATATCACTTTATGGAATTAACTAATATTTTAATTGTTCAATTATTTATATTTTGTAATGAAACATTACCTTTACTGCTTATTTCCTTATGCACCATATAATCATTATATGAATTAAAAATAGAATTGTTTGTAATTACTGGTTCTTTTTCCAGAATCGTGTCCATATCTTCGTTAAAAGCGTTACTTGTGTTGCTTAATGGTGGATTATTATTAATGCTTTCAATTTTTTTACTTCTACTTTCCTCTTCTTCGTCAGAGGATATTGTCAAACATTCTAAAAATTAATAAAATAAACGTTAGCGCTATATTATATTTTGTGCATCAAATATATTCTTGTACCTGGCTCTTTATGAATAGGCTTTGGTTTAGCTCTACCCTTTCCTTTGAGACGCTTGGATATAGGACCATCTTGCTCCATTTTCTCTATTTTTATGGCATTTCTTTCATTATTTTTTTTATAGAATATCTGTAAAGAAATATAATTATAATATATAACTAAATAACTGAAAAATATTGATGAAATAAAAATTACGAATAGAAATATACAATAATATTAAGATGATCGTTGTAAACTGCTGTCAGTATGACCTGTAATATGGCAATAATACGAAATAATTGTAAACTACTAACTCTTAGTACTAACTCTTCTCTCTAAGTCTCATGAAACACTTCTTAATGACTATGTGCTGAAATAAGAGCATTTACAATTTGTTACATTAAGAAATATTAATACACAAATCTTAAGTAATCTAAATTTGTTAGTCGTTCATCAGTCACACATTTGAATCATAACAGATGAGCATTGCATTAATAAATATAATATCGGTCTTCTGGCACCGCAGTCATTATCCTTACATCGACAGGCAGCCCAATCTCCTTCCTTTTTGCTATAGGTATCGACTTGACTTCCTCATTTAATTTTGTATTACATCGTTCACATCGGTTGAAGTGGAGTGAACTGTAGCCGCAGTGTGGACAGAGAGCAAGCATTCCTTTGACGTAAATAGGCTCCTAGTAATAACACGGTATACTTCGTACTTGTACCATACTTTGTTTTGAATAATGTACTAGGTGTACTCCCTTAAGTTATTACAAAATCCTTATCAATTGCAGCAATGTGATATTATCACACTTGCATTGTGATTATTATTAATTTCATTATTATATGTACTATCTATTCCCTTTTGTATTTTGCATTTTATTTTTTTAAATGTGGTATATTATAATTAAATTATATATATATATATATATATATATATATATATATATATAATTTTATATATCATTTATACAAATATATCAACTAAATACGCAATATATATCATTATCCATTATTATTATAATATTAAAGTGAAGGAATTGGCATAGTATATAAAAATATTGTAAATATGAATAATATAAATAAAATATAAATAATAAAATATAGTTTTGTATATATTAATATTAAATTCAGATTGATACAAAACTTCCTCATTCATCAAATACTTTCATCATTCAATATATAAGGTCAATATATTGTGTCCTCACTGCAACCATATTGAATTATAACGTCACAAGCGAGAAATCCTCTCTACGAATTTTATTCTTGTAAAATATATCGAAATAAATTTGTTTTCAATATATCCACTCATATTCGATAATATAGATTAGTAAAATATATCGATGATTTACTTTTTTCGTGAATTAATAAATAGCTATTAATCTTGCTCAATTATCATAAAAGTTTTATGCTAAAATGAGTTTTTTATTACATTTACAACCAAGATTTAGCTCTTTATTAATTTACGAATAAAAAAAAAAATGTTCGATATATTTTACTAAATGTATATTATCGAACAAAAGTGATCACAGTAAAAAAAACTTATATATTTCAATGTATTTCCAAAAAAAAAAAAATTCATATGATAGGTTTATTCTTCGTATAAATTTAGATGAATTTCTTACATTTTTTTGCTTTTTCTTTCTTTCTCTTCAACTTCTAAATATATATCTATTTCATTTTTAGTTTGTTACAAAATTCTGTTTTTCTAAATATATTTACATGTAAAAATAGAATTAAAAAGATAATATAATTTTAATGCCAATATCCTTTCCTTTTTTCTTCTATATTTTTTAATAAATTGGCGATCTTACCTCAGCTGATAAAGATGCATTACTGTTTTCATCTGATACACTAAAAACGTTATTGTTTTAGTAAGTAAACATAAAATTTTAATAATTAAACAAAATTATCAATACGTGAAGCAATTAGAATATCATACTTGGTATTTTGTGATAAATTTTCGGTGGTTGTAGTAGAGCTTACAACTTCTTGAACAGAATTACAATCACTATGATCATTGCCATCAAAAGATATAAGTGTTCCAACACATTCTTCCACTATATAATTTATACCCAATGTGGGATCATCTACCAAGGAAACTGTTGGTTTACCAGAGAATGAAATGTTTATCTAAAAAAATATTTTATATAATAAATAATCATTCATTGTTTAATCATATATTGATAAATTTAAAATCCATACATGAATTATACCATAATACATGCAAATCTAGAAGCACCAATACAATTAAATGTAATTTTTATCTTTTAATTTATCAATCACATATTTGTTTGTTTATTTAGACATTCAGTAAGCAGTTGTGCTTTTGGCTACACACATTGTAAAAAATATGTAATCAGTGAAATTTTGAACATTAAAAATTTCAAAATACGTAAATACGTAAACATACAAATAATTTCATATATACGATGCATAACTATAAAATACAACACAAATACAAACAAAACATACAAAAAAAATAGCATGCAATTGTAAAAAAAATAAAAAAAATTAAACTTAAATAAAAAAACTTATGATATTATATTTATTATTTTAACATTCTAAAATCTCTCTCCGTTTTTTTCCTTTCAATTGCATAGCAATTTACTAATCATTCTGTACTGTTGCCAAATGTACATATTTCCAACACATATAGACATACCTGACCCAAGACTGCACGTACCTGATCCAATAGGTCGTGTACAGTGCAGTCCTCGTTTGGTATCTCAAACGTGATTAATCTCTGTTCTCCACTAGCTAATATTACTAACATTTTTGCTTCATTTCCTTTAATTTGATGTTGAACTATGGCAGTTGATGGATCATTAATAATTTTTTGAAGATAAGCAACGCTCTCATTTGAATTATTTTCGTGTTCCGATTGTGGCGAAGAAACCTGTTGTATCACATGTATCTTCTCCTGCACGCATTCCAGAGGATCGACTTCCATACTAGTACTACTAACGTGCATATTATGTTCAGCTGAAGAGGGAGGCGACGTTACCATGGATGATTTTTGTTGCATTTGTTGCTTTTGCGAAGGGATCGAAATTTGCTGCGTTCTTTGTTGCACAGAATTTGCAGACGAGGCAAGGGTCAAGCGACGCGCGGGATTATTCGACGAATTTTGAACTGGATGCTGCGCAATATTAGAATGTTGTCGTTGTGCGTTATTTTGTTGAAACCTTAATTTCTCGACAGGCTGTCTCTGTAATTGCATTTGCTTCTTGGCTTGCTTGATTTGTTCATTCAAATGCTCCATATCAGGAGGTTGTATCCTTGTTGGTGTTTTAGAGATTTCGGGAGGAACTATAGCTACGGGCCGTAACGTATTCAGATCAGAAGCACGAATAGAAGCACGAATTGGTCTTACAGTTACAGTCTGTCCCAGTGAATTGACAGCTTTGTTGGAGATGGGCATCGCAAATTTGGAATTTCCTACCACAGTAGAATTTTGAATTCTATTTTCTGATGTAATTCTTGCATTTGCTCCATCTGGAGTTTGAGATGTTGCACCTGTCTGTACGTTATTGGACAACTGTTGATTTTTATTATAAGATTTGGCTAGTTTTTTTTCTGTTTGCCCAGAATTTACATAAAGAGGTGGCTAAATGTGAAAGTAGTTGTTAGATAGTAAATATGAAAGAGTTAAAATTATAAAGAGAGTTTTGTCTAAAAATTACTCCAATACATAAACTTACTGGTGATGCAATGTTATTTTGTACGTTATTTTTAGTTATAACGGCAGTTGAATCTTTTTCTTGCAACGTTTGTTTTGTCGTTGTAGCATTTTGCATTTTTATCCACTGTACTTGTTGCCCTTCATTATTACATTCCGTTTTAGTACCTGGAAAACAAGATTTATATTTACAATATTGCATGTAAAGATGCTGAGAAATTGTTGTATAAGTAACTTACTTGATGTTACTTATATATAAGATACTAATATATAATAAAGCAGCTTTGCAGACTTAACATTTTATAAAACACATTATAATATAAAAACTTGCTGATATTTACCTGTATTATCTGCAATGCTTACTATATTTTCATTAACAACATGTGCATTCACCGTATTAGATTTTAATATGGCCTGTGTTGTAGCAATGTCATTTGTTTTGATTATAAAAACATTTTGCCTGAAAAAAGATAATAAACTTTATATATATATATATATATATATATATATATATACATACATACATACATACATACATACATACATACATACATACATACATACATACATACATACATACATACATACATACATACATACATACATATATACATACATATAATATTGTTTCATAAGTATCACAATCTTATTCTAACTAAAACATGCAAGATATTAGTATGTTAATTATATTAAATATGTGTATTAAAAAATATATTAATATAAGAAATTTAAGTATAGTTCATTAATAAAATAGTATATAATTGAATATTGTTACATTTAAAAAAAGTTAGTTTTTATTTGGATTATTTATATTAATTAGATGAAAATAATGAAGAGGAGAGTGAATGAGAGTTAAAAGTTTTTAGAAACTTTTTACTTTTTGCATAAAGACCATTTTTTATTATATTGCATTTTTATATTATTTATATAAGTATTTGATAAAAATTAATACATACAAATTATATTTGATAAACAAATATTCTTTTCAGTTTAAAAAAAAATTAGATATTGTTCTATCATTTTTTATATAATTTAATATAATTTAAATTATTATTTATATAATTTTATATAATTTAAATTATCATTATTTTAACATTGCCAGTATGACATTTTTTAGGCATATAGCTTCTATATATTATAATAAGATTTTATACTATAAAATTAGTAAAACAAGAATTGTTCACAAATTAATCATTAAAATAGCAATTTATGATTTAAATTATAATAAAATTAAACAAATTTAAAACTTAAACTTAACTTATTTATAAAATTAAAAATATTTATCGATATAAAAATATTAATATATAAAAATTGCTCATAGGCCACACATATTAAGAAAAAATAGATTGCATGAAATAATGTGCACAATATATTATTTCGGTATTATTTATAAATACACATTCAATTTTCATATATATATATATATATATATATATATATATATATTATATTTTATTAAATTTGATAACTGTATTTGTTAAGATTAATATAGATTCTTTATATTCACACACACACATACAGGCACACAATACATCCATAATCAATAATATTAGTAAACAGGCTCTTATGACAATTTGATAATATTTTCTTTGAGGCACACGCGTACAAGATATTTTGAAATTCTATAAATTTTGAATTATTTTTTTTTGAACAAAAGAAGGGAAAGATTTATGAATCTTATTAAAAAATCGATTGTCGAATAGTGTTAAAAGTGTAAAATCTCAAACTTTTTTTAAATTTTTTAAATATTTTTAAATATTTAGAACTATAATTTTTTAATAAACATTATTACAACATATTGTATTAGCATATAAATATAGCAATATTATTATAAAATAATTAGTGTATTATATTTTTTTTTAAATGTATATTTTGCAAATATAATACATATATGCATATAAAACACATAGAAGACAAGGCAATAGAAGACTACTTTAAGAAGCATCTATTGTATCAATGTCTCTTCCGTGTTATGCCTAATATATGTGTTAATTCTGATATGTACAAGTTGCTTTTTCATATCGAATAAAAAAAATATTAATATATATAATATATTATTCAAATTGTACAAAATATTATTCTTAATTATATTCTATATGTTTATAAAATTATACATTTTAGAAATCAAAACAACATTTCAATGAAAATGTATGGCCCATTGTATAATAAGATTATAATACATGTTCCTATAAATTAAAGTATTTAGAATTTTAAAATCTCATTCAAGTTTTTTATTTCTCACAATTGGCAACGTATATCCCAAATTTATCTCCTCTGAAATAAGCACTATACTCTCTTAAAATGGTAAGTTTAATTAAATTCTCGAGTTCTCGTGAAATCTCAAGAGCTTAGAGAAATAGAACTGTTATTTCACTATTCGAGTACATTCAAAAGTAATTGAAAATGCATGCCATATGAGTTACCCTTGCTCCAATCGTGTTGCAGCTATTTGATTCCCTAAATTAATAGTTTGCGGGGAGAATATTGCCTGCCTGTTTTGTGGTGCAGCATAAGTCACAACCTGTTGTGAACCATTACCGCTGTTATTAACGTCTTCAACAACTAAAACCCGTTGCCCGCAGAATCTCGGTACTTCCTCAAATGTAAAAGTACCGCTGGGACTCGTCACAACATTAAAATATTGTGCCATATTATTCAACACTTAACCGCTGGCAATTATATGATCTTTTCTCAATTAATAAAGATCAGGATTGGATTGTCGCTAATACAGTGAGATAGACCAATCCATCAATATCATATCTGCTAGAATTTGTGCGGTAAAACCTACGAAAAATAATTACGAATTATGTTCGATTTTCGCGATTATATTCCGTATAATTTTAAATAAAATATAATTTCTAGTATTTATTTACAAAAAATTAATAAATAATAAAAACAAAATTATTAAGAAAATAATGGAAAATTATATTAAAAATAAAAATGTAAATGAAAATCTAATGTGTAGAAAGTTATACAGTGTTGCAAACTTTAAATATACCACAAACTTTATTAAAAATATAGAAAATTGTATCTATATAATTATAGTTTTTATAGTTTTGTAACTGAAATTTGCATTTAATTTTATTAAACAAATATTTCATATATAATATCATGAGTAGAAATTGTATATTAATTATAATTTATTATATAATACTGATAAAGCATGCTTTTCTTTTAAATAAATCATAAAGATCTTCAATGTCTATCAAAGATAAACTCTCTAATGGAAATTTTGACACATGAATGATAAATTTTCACACATTTGATATTGTTCAACTTTTAAAGTAGTCTCCTATAAAAATTAATTTCCCTCAAGAAATTTTAAACACAAATTCTATTAATTGTAAAAAAAAATATAAAATATAAACGATATATTTATATTACTTTAATATTCATCTAAATATTTTGCTCCATTATAAATAAATTATCAATTTTTGTACAACATGTGCTTCAAAGAATCCTTATTGAAAAAAAATGAATTATAAATATCATCACATATGTTTTAGTCTAATGTTTAATCTAATGGTAAGTTATAGAATATGTTGATTTGTTCATCAAACAAACATTTTGCAACTCATAACAACATGCAAGAAGATACATATGAAATAATTAGATGATAAAACATGATATATTGTGAAAAAAACTTTTTGTGCGAAAAAAGCAATAATTATAATAGAAATAAATGTATATAACAAAATGTTTTATATTGTATCAAACTATTTATAATATAAAATATAATTACTTATAATACAAAATGCCTGATGAGGCAATAACTACAAGGACTACTCTTTAATTGAATTTTAATTGAAATTTCAAAATAATCTATATATTGCTAATTTACTTTATAAAAGATAGTTTTTCACAATTATTTACCATTATATATACATATATATATATATATATATATATATATAAAAGGATGTGTAAGGAATACATATGTATGATATATTATGAAAAACATTACTTAAATTATATGTTATGAGTTACGTTCCAATAAATTTTGAACAAATTTATACGTATCTCATGCCAAGTGACATTAAACAGAAAAAAAATAGAGAAAAAACATAATACTTATGTCTTCCTAATTAAGTTTATAATTAACAAGATTCATGTCCAAAATCAAAATCAAGAACTTTTTAATAAAATAGCATATAATTAATATAAAAATCATATTTAAATCAATGTTAAAACAAAAAGAAAAGATTTAATAAATTTATAAAATAATTAAAATATTCTGATGCAATTTTAATAATTTATTAAACAAGTCTTGAAATACATATAACAAATCGATATTAATTTTTTATGTTACGTTACATGTTGGAACTGAATAAATTTCTAACAAAATATATAAGTAATAGATTATATATATATATATATATATATATATATATATATAATTTTTTTTTTTAATGCTTTCTTGCAAAATGTAAGACAACATTTCTCTCTTTTTATATTATGTTATATTAGAACTGAATAAATTTCTAAAAATATATAAATAATAGATTATATATTTATTTATATTTTTTAATGCTTTCTTGTGCAAAATGTAAGAAAATCTCTCTCACATCACTGTCAAAAAGTATATTATGTATTTAAAAAAATATATTTAATATTATATTCTAAAGGCTAGTCGCAAATATAATCAGAATAAAGATAATTAACTACAAACACTTGTCACAGGAAGCTTTGCGATGAATTGTAACGTGCGATAAAGCTGCAACTCTAATCCTCGTGGGAGTTGACACAAGATTCTCTCTCGTCCCGAAATGCTTAGTTGTATTAGTTAATGCAATGAAAAAACAATGGTTAACGATCGCGCGAATTTAATCCGATCGAAGGGAATACGGGAAACGGCTACTCCGCTCCCGTTCTGATCATAACCTAAAAATCAACGGACAAAGAGAGCCGCGCTTCTTTGGCTCACGACGACGTCACTAAGATCGATCGAAATCTCCAGCGAGGACGCGAGACGAATGTTAAGGAGAAACGTCAAATAGGCACGGTTACTCACGATCAAATCGAGGGATCAGTCGCGGGATCTTCCGTTGCGGAAAACTCTCATAACCTTGTCGCGTGGATTACGGGGGATTAGTCGCCGAAGGCCGGTAGAGCTTATCTCGCGGAAATGCGAACGGTCGACGCGACAGCTCGAGATCGCGAAACAACACGTGGCTCGTCCTCCGCGCGCCTACAAGACACGTACGGCGTTGTACGGGGGGCGGACGATCCCTCTCGATCTCACTTCGTGCACGCGCTTGGATAACCGTCTCGATCCCAGGAATCAACATATACAACAGCGATACTCACGATCGTTCGCGTATACAGTTTCACCGACACGCGAGACTGAGTTTGATATGACGCACCGTGAACAGTTCTTCGATTCGCTTCTCTCCGCTCCCTCACTTCGCTGTGTGCGGCGCGAGTAAATAACAACTATAATTCGCCATTACGTATCCACTTGTACGAATCGCGCTGCGACCACTGCGATCGACGGACGGACGAACCAGCGAGGTGGATGCAGGCGAGCGCGCCACTGCGCATGTCCTACGCCGCTAACTTCCGGGACGCCACTCGACCGCCAAGTTCAATCTCGCGCCGTCTCGCTCGAGCCGTATACAAAATGTTAATACTGAAATTATAATGTACTATTAATATAAATAATATTATATATAAATTATAATATACTATTAATACTAATTATGTCATAAGGCTCCTTATAACGCGGTAAATAAATTATGACAGAAATCATATGTATAAATCATCCTCATATATAACGCGTAAATAAGATCAAATTTTTTTATAATGAATATATTTAAAAATTTTTTATAATCCATGAATATCGTATAACGAACAAAATTGTATAATGTAAAATGTATCCTTCGCATTATATGGAAGTTTATTGTATAATATCTCGTTGATGATGTAGATTTGTCGAATTTTTAATACAAGTTCACTTACATAGCACACATCTTATATGTATTATATTGTCATATAAATTTATTTGATAGATCTCTCTGAGAGCTTGATTAATCTTTCATACAAGATGGGACGAATCTTTATTCACAAATGTATCTAGATCTTGATACAAGAATTTGCACAACTCCAAAGATTTACTAATTTAACTATTTGAATAAGATGTCAGATCAAAAGACCTACTTAATAAATATTCTAAAATATGTTATTCGTAATTATTAAAAATTAATACATTAAAATAAACACACAAATATAATAGTTATATATACTTCATCATTTTATAAAGTATATAAATTATATTTTGTTTATATACATTATACATTGTTGTACAGTTTCTCTCAATGGAAGTAAATTTTGAAAAATTATATATGTATAATTCGCATATTTCCGATAATTATGATAAATAGTGAAGAAATAAAAAAAAATTATATATTGATTTGAATATATAACAGCATAATTTATTCCTTACTTTTAATCGATCGACTATCAATCTCTACTACATTACTATGAAATAGAGAAACTATCCTTTGTCTACTATGTTGTAACGTATAAGACTCAAAGGGGAAAAAATTAGAAATTAAAACAGGCAAGTGCGTTTTCATTCCGAAAATAGGCAATTGATTGCGTTCATTGTTTTCAATTATAGTGTAACAATAGGCAAGTTGATATGTGCTTGTAATATCGGCAAAACTGTGAACTATCTCACTGATGCATATTTTCAAAGGATTTAATCTACAAGTAACGATCCTTGGTATATCAAGTTCTTGAAGAAATAACATACCTGAAAAATATCGAGTTTTTAAAGCTGTCATTGCTAAAACTATAACATACACATATACAGTAAATTTAAACTCACCATTTTTTGAGTTGACAAATTCTTTGTGTCTCGCGATAAATAAATGAAAAAAAGCTTGACATACAGAATAAAACACGACATGTGATTTCATGTTATCGTCAATATATTGCTTATATTCTTGTATATTGATATAATTACGTATCCATATTATCAATTGGGACATTGTCTGCTTCACTAATCTGATGAGTAACGTTGCATTGTTAAATATGCAAATTCATCACAAAATTGTTATAGCTAGCATAGATATTATTGTAATAATTACCCATTAGAGATAAATGATGCAGTAGCGAGCAAACTGGCAATGTAACAAACAGCCGATTGCCGTATAACCGGTGCTACGTTTGGATCGATTACTTTACGCCATAACCAATCTGTGAAAGTCTCCGCAACTATGGCTTTGAAGCTGCAAATGTAGAACATGATAAATTGCACATATTGACTGGCATGCGTGGGTAATATTATTGTTTCAAATGCTCGAAGAATATCGATGTATAATATTTTCAGGGATTCTATTTGTAGAGCATTGTCTACAAAGCAGAACTCGTGCATGTACTTAAGAAATAATTCCATGCACGTGTCCATTGTGTGTACAATTAGAGGGGCAGTTTTTATTTTGTCTGCATCATTATTTACTGTTGTCGGATTGTCACCGTCAACTGTTTCATCAGTACAATCATTCATCTCATCATCTTCCTCATCATCTTTTGCTTCTTTACGAGGTATATTGACATCTAACAGTGTCAGCCTAAAATACAAATATTAATTTTTTTATCAGCCATATCTAAAAAAAATTGTTTTATCTCTCATATATACTTACCTATTAATGATTAAGGATAAAATGTCTGACCTCAGTTGAGGTGCATAATTTAATATTTGTAATAACGCATAAATATAAATTTCATGTGTATAAGTGCCATGTGCAATATACGGAAATTGTGATGCTAGAGATTGTAGCAAAACTTGGCTTGACCTAAAAACATTATATATATTGAAAGTATATGTATTTAATATACAACATATAAACTTAACATACTTATATATAATGAAAAAAAAAGGTATTTTATATACTTTTCTACATCTTACATTGGTATTACTTCCAAAATCTTATGTAATATGTCATGTATATGGTTTAGCCTTTCTATATCTTTATCTTTAAATTCTCCAGGTTTATGTTCTGCATTATTATCTTCTACTGCAAAGAAATAAATCTTGTTAAATACATATATTATATCTCAATATTTTTGAAGTATATTATTATTATATATAATTTATTACCTGATTTAAACAAGTGAATCAAAGAATTTATTACAGTTTTTATATAGAGTGTTTGCATGCACACTAAATCTTGCAAGAAGAGCTTGTAAACAGAAATCACTTCCGCTGATTTAGACGTCCATTGAATTCGAAGAATAATTTGAACAAACAATTCGTGTCTAGTATCTAATAAAGATATGCACTGTCTTGCCTTAGATAGAAATTTTGCTAAATCACTATCCTAAGAAACAAAAAAGAGAATCCTAAGTAAACTATATTACATCACAATATGCAAGTGATCAAGTTTTATATAAAGCATATGAAATATATTCATCATACATTAGCAGATTGTAAAGATTATTTGTATATATATTCCACAAAATTTTCTTTTTACCTTTATAGCTCCTTCTTTAAGTGAATATATCAACTTCTCATATTCTTTACTTTCACTACCTGCCTTACATAATATACCTTTAATATCTTCAGGGAGTTTTAGGTATTGTATTCTGTTACATTGTTTGAGTTGCGCTCTAAGTCCAGTAGCTTTTATTATAGATGAAACACTGCTAACTCTTGACGATACCACAGACATCTGTTAATCACCAAATAAATAATTATTAAATTCTGTTCTTAATAACAAATCTATTTTATGATTGCTATAAATTAAAGGCAATTGAAAAGTTTGAACCTCTCTTTCTCTCAATATAAATAGAATATTGTATTATTGCAAAATGTCAAATACAATTATATGCAGAGAAAAGATTATATACACGTTAGAATGAATTATATTTGGACTTACTTTGATAAATGTATTACCATGCGCTCGTACGGTCACAAGTCATAAGCCACATGTTCTTACAGGTTATGGAATAATCATAGATACCAGAGAGAAGACTGAGAGGTGTCATGGCCCGCTTTTACGTGATCCCTGAAAGCGATACGCCCTCTGTTAATCTAAAAAACGTGGACATGAACTACAAAGCCAAAGTCCACGAAAGTTCTCAGAGAGTAACATATATGTGCACAATTTCTGATTCTGTTCCGTGCTATGTAAAAAATGCCTGTAGTACACGAAATGCCTATGTACACGAAATGCCATCAGTGCTGTATAGCATATGTATATAAATATAAATAAAATTTAATTTGAATTTTTTAAATAAATTTTGTGGTCCTCTCTCTCTCTCTCTCTCTCTACACATACACAAATAAACACACACATATATAATATATATATGTATATATAGTATAACGCTACAACTTTATTCTGAAATATCTGCGTTATGTTTAGAAATATATATATATATATATATATATATATATATATATATATATTCAATTTAAAACATTACATGAAATACACGCGCTGGAATTACATATATATATTCTATGTGTACATAAATACAAATATATTATCTCTTTTCGAAAGATATATTAACATTGAAAAATTTAAATATAATATATATTTAATTAATTGATTCATATCTATTTATGTCGTATCACAAAGTAAGAAGTTAAAATTTGACTTCAATCCCGAAAAATACTGTGATCTTCCAATGTAATGTTCAAAGATAAAATAACTATTTTTCTATACATTCAATGTCATATTTATATATTTTTATTTACAAAAAAACAAAATGTCTGTTGTGGAATAAAAACCTTTTTAACCGTATTTCTATAAATCTTTTTAATTAGCAGTAAAATAATCTTTGATATTTATCAATCATTTTTTTTAATTATTTAAAAATGTAATTATTAATACATGTATAGAATTTGTTAAAGTAATCACTGATTCTTCTGAAGCTTTTATAATTAAGATTCGAAAAATATAGATGTTGCAAAATATTTTAAATATCTCTTCCTTTATATAAAATATAAAGAATTCATATGTTTTATTCTAATATAGTTAACATTATTTGTATACTTTTATTATAATTTTCTTACCAGCATAATATTTTTATGCTTAATATTTTATATAATATAATGTACTAAATTATAAAATTTAATATAATTACAAAATAGTATTATTATTAATAAAAAGATTGCACACTGTCTTTTAGTTTCTAATTATTTTCAATCATTATGCATTTCTATCCAATATATTCTCTTCTTCGAGTTCTTGGATTATTATGGTTTATTGTATTCCTTTGTGTTAAAATTATAAAAATTATCATCATTTGTCATTCCTTCCTATGGAGTCCATCGAAATACTTTCTATGGACATTTGTTCTCAGGTATAGATATTCAAATCACTGTAGTTGCCTTTTTCTCGATTATTGTCCCTTTTTCTTTCATTTTATTTAAAAATATTAATATAATTAATATAACAAATATTTATATAATTTTGGTATTTCTCTTAGGTCTGACACTTCCCCTTCGACTTGTCCGGCATAGATGACTCTATCAATAACTACGATCGGTATTCATAACTCACTTTTATATTTAAGATCATACTTAAAATTATCTTAAATATAAGAAAAGTCTATACGAATATCGGTGTATGTTACCGCCGGCATAGCTCTCAGGCTCATTAAAATACTCAAACCTCCTCAGCTGACAAATGCCATCCTTAAGATGGAGATATCATCGAGAAGGCAAAATTTTTCATTTTCTTTCAATACAGAATTTAATACAAAAAGTTAATGTAAAATATAATATTATATAATTTGAAATGTAATAGAAAATAAATTAACAATCTTTTTTTTTTACGTAGGGAAAAAAAACTCTCTTAAAAAACACTCAAAAAATATTGATCCCTTAAAAATTCTTAATATTAATAATATAATTAATGAAATATTTATTAATTAATTTTCCCTAATATAATTTAAACCTACATTTCCTGATTCTTTAAAAGATACATAATATAAAATCAGCTAAATTAATCACATAATAGCCCTAACAATCCTTTTCTTTTTGAAAGGAAAATTAAGAAATCTTAATGATCACCTAATAACCCTAACGATCCTATTTCTCGATTAAGTGAAATTATTCGAGGAAAGTCTATATCTAATCACGTATATTTTAATTACGTGCCCTAATTACATTCTCTAACCGCATGCCCTAACCGCGTGAATAAATATCCGACATTACGTACTATTGTACGTAAAGCTTTTCTTCAGGCCAGTTAAACTTACTTTTCGTTGAGCCTGGCTACTTTCTCGCTCGATCTCTAATCAGAGATCGAAAAAGGAGACAAACACTCCTTCTTTTGCCGATTAATTACCGGCAAATGAGCGTAAATATTTCACGCTCATCGTAACGATCGCTCGATTTTATGATCGTTTCTTAAATATTTGAATATAACTTTATTTTAACTCAAATAAAGCCAAATTTCTATATACTATATTTTCTAATAAAATATAAAATTCATGTATATGTATAACTTTTATGATATTACAAATTATTTAATTAATTAATCGTTTGGCTTTATTTTAAGTTAAAGTAAAATTTAAAAACAATATCTACAAACAAATTCTACAATGGATGAGCTATGATATAAGAAATTAGAATAAAATAAGTGCGCGTTATAAGAATAAAGTAGTATCAAAAATTGGTAAAATTGTTAAAATTATTAATGCGTGCTCTTGATTTAATAAATTAGTCAAGTTTTTAAAAAAAATTTCTTTTCTTGATTCTCTTTTTTAAATTAATACTTCAATATATTTTCGCAATAGATGCAAAGCATTTCGAAAGAATTTATTAAAAGTTATTTAATTTAATCTATCCTAGCTCATCCATTTTAAGGCAACGGACTTACTACAATTCACAATCTACAATCTACAATCTACAATCCACAATCTACAATCTACAATCTACATCTACAATCTCTACGAATCCGTTACCTTAAAGTTAAATAAAAGTTTTTCTCACTCACCGGCACTGATGCGCAACAGCGGAGTTGTTGTTATCGAAGCTAGTTGTCTGTAACATACAAATATAAAATTCATTTATATTAATGCTCACAAAATGCAATCAATATTTCAAAAAATTTTTATCGCGCGGAATTTTATATCCGATGTGTAAAATAATAAGCAGAGATAAACACGTGTGGAAAAATTTTATAAAATTTTAAAACTGTTTTTCAAGAAAGTTTTTTAAAAAGTTTTATATAACTTTTATAAAAATTTTTCTCTCTAATTTTCTCCTTAATTCATTTAAATAATAAGATCGAATTATTATGCGTACGATTTATAACAATTGATATACAAATAATAAATATTCACCATCAGGTTGCTCCGCCGATGCAAGATGCCTCTCCCAGGCCTCCTCCTCCTCTCATGTTGTTGACGCGCGATACTTTCAACGGCACTCCCGCACTCACGAGCGATATTTTTATCGCTATTTTCGTTATTTTACGCGCGATACTAAACGGCACTCCCGCACTACTTCGGTATTCGGATTAAAAATTTGGTCGCGCGATGTATATATTTAATATATATATACTTTCAACGACACTCCCGGTTTCGGTACGAGCGAAAATCTCATTTCATTTACGAGACTTAACTTTGAGCCAACAAGTCGGGAGTGCAATGATACAACGAGCAAAGATTAGGCCCGAACCGGAAAGAAGACGAAACGATTGAGGAATAGAGGAAAATAAAGTTCACCAGCTCTTTTTCGCGCATAATTATCCTATCTCGTATCGAACCTGGACCCGCTAAGCATGATTTCAGGTGCTTCGCCCGGAACACGAAGTTTCCCGCAATGCAGGATATGGCTACACCAGGCTGGTAGACGGCAAAAGAAGAGGATACCCACATTTTTTAAATGCTAACATTCAGCAATTTAAAAAATGGGGAGGCAACCCCTTTTACCGAGCGAAAATCATGCTTAGGGGAATCCACTCGACTCCTCGACAGGGTTAACACACGCAGTGCGTGTGGCTGTAGGGTAGACGAGCAAAGAGAAGGGACCCATTGACGACCATTCCGAGCAATCGATCGAGTTCTAACTAATTCGGGCCGAATCATTTGACGAAGTACGAAGTACGAAGCGCGAGTGTACGTTGCATAACAACGTGTGCAAACTCGAAACATCCCAGTTAGTTGGCATCGGAAGTAGAGACTCGTGACAATAAATGAAATTGAGATTTTATATGAAAAAGTCCAAAATTTCCGCGAAAACGCGACGACGCGAGAATACTACAACGCGAAAACGCGGTGACGAAACGCTTGCCATCCGCGGCACGTTGACGGCACCGACGACGCGAAAGGGTACTTAGCTTCCCTTTCAAGCACCTTAAGATTTATCATAAATAGAAAAATTTAAGATAAATCTCAAGACACCATCCAAGTACTAAGCCTTCCCACCGCGACAAGGTGTACCCCATGGGAGGGTTATATTATATATAATTTTATATATAATATAATATATACAATTGCAGCATTTATTTTGCAATATAGTATATAAATTTAAATTTGCATAACAAGACCGTAAAACAAAATTATTGGCACGGTATTGTTTATGTCAGATATTATGTTATTCATTGTTGAAATTCATTGTTGAAATTCATTATTAAAATATAATATAATTTGAAATGTAATACAACATAATTTAACAATTTTTTTTTTTTTTTTTTTTTACGTGGGGAAAATGCTCCTTATGCACACCCCGACGGGACCGCTATTTAGCTATTTAGCGGTCCCGTCGGGGTAGTGTTGGGCTCTTCCTGCCGCCATTTTAACGGCAGGGACTACCAACTAAAAACCCCACGCGCCTTTCCTTAGTCTTCCAACGCGCAAATCCCCGGAACCATGTGCATAAGGAGCATTATATGGAGTAGCCCTAACAAACTACTATCCTATTATATGTTCATAATATTCACTATATTCAATATTATATACATTCAATATATATTCACAAATATCTGAAAAAAATAATTTTCTTAATATCTTCGATATT